CTGTTTTCTTGCCTTTTCAAGCTTCTAGAGATGCATTCCTTGGCTTGTGGCCCCTTCCTCCATCTTCAAAGCCACCAGTGTGGTATAAAACTTCAGAGAAAGGAGAGAGAGGCTTGAGACACAGGCACACACAGGGAGAAGCAGGTTGACCACAGAGGCAGACACTGAAAGGATGTGGCTGCTTCCAGGGCTTCTGGTGTTTCCTGGCTGGGGGCCAGGAAATTTGTGTGGGGAATATTTCACAATGTACAAACTGATGATCTGATACACATGTACATTGTGAAACATTCCCCACAATGGGGCTATCAACATATCCATTGCCTGATAGTTCATTTGTTCTTTCTTTTCCCTTTCCTTTCTTTCCTTCCTTCCTTCCTTCCTTCCTTTCTTCCTTCCTTTCTTTCTTTCTCTTTCTTTTTCGTAGAAGATTCAAGATCTACCCTTACAGTGAATTTCGAGTACACAGTACACATTCTTGTACACCAATCCTCCAGAATTTATTCATCTTACAGAACTGAAACTTTATGCCCCTTAACCAACATCTACCCAATTTTCTCTTCCTCAGCCTCTGGCGACCACCTGTCTGCTTCTGTGGGTCCCGCTATGTGGAAGAAGGCAGAAGCAGGCAGACCAGGTGGAGGCTATTATTGTAATCCCAGTGAAAGCTGCTGAAGGTCAGATTGGAGGTGAGCCTGGCTCAGATGTTGGGTATATCATGAAGATAGAATTTCTAACAGATTTGCCAGACTTCCAATATCTAGGCTATCAAACAAATCACCCCAAACTTAGTGGCAAAAAAAAAAAAAAAATCACTTCAGTGTTAGGCCCGTTATTAAACGAAACGAGACTAAGACAAAGTGAAAGTTATTTAAAGCTTTATTTTATGGTATTAGAAGTCAGACTGATTGATCAGGGGAACAAGACTGAAACAAGGTGAAAGTTATGCAAAGCTCTATTTTATGCTAAGCATTAGAAGTCCGACTGACCGGCCAGGGCCGTCTCTGAAAAGAGCGACCACCCCCAGCTCACAGGCTCAAGAATTGACTGACTGACCCGTCAGGGCCGCCTCCGAAGAGGGCGACCCCTCCCCATCTTACAGACTATCTTTTATAGAGCAAAAGTCTGGCCAACACATAGGTGGCCAATGAGATTGTAGTCATGTTAGGTCACACGCAGGTGGCCAATTGAATTACAATTGACCCTATAGTAGCTGTTTGACCTAACCTATTACTCTGGTCAGAACTGGTGCTCAAGGTTGGCGCCCAAATGGCGGGGTTTACGTTCTTTGGTGGTTAGGGAAAAAGTATGTGTGTTTCTTACTGATTGGATGTCTCCACCTGGCCGGACTCGTCCTTGTATTCTGGGCTCTGTTATCAAGAACTGTCCGACCTGGCCTTGTATTCTGGGCTCTGTTATTAGGAACTAGCTGACCATATTTTACTGGTTTTCCTGGGGGGAAAGTAAGTTTCTCTGGGGGGAGGGGGGCAGGGTCAGTTTAAGTTTTACTGCACAAACAACAAAATGGCTTTTAACCAAGATGGAGTTGCTCTGGCTAAATAGGTCCTTACATTCAGTATTCTCACAGTTTCTATAGGAGAGCTGATTTCTGCTCCATAATGTTCTGGGTCCTCAGACGGGAAGAATCAGTGGGCTGGAGGTGACTCTACTGTCCTGAGGCCTGGAAACATCAGGAGGTGCCTTCACTATATGCCTGGCACCTAGGCTGGGATGACTTGAAGTCTGGCCTCAGCCGGGACTGTTGAGTGGGTTCCCTTTATGTGGCTTGGGCTTCCTCACAACATGGTGGCAAGGAGTGTGTGTTCTGACAGCTAGGTGGAGGCTGCATGCCAGCTATCACTTCCACTACATTCTGTTGGTTATAAGAGAATCACTAAAATCATCCCAGATTCAAGGCGGGGAGAACAGGACTCTACTTCTTTTAATTAAAAAAAAATTTTTTTAAAGTAGGTTGTACACCCAACATGGAGCCCAATGTGGGACCTGAACTCAGAACTGTGAGATCACAGACCTAAGCTGAGATCAGGAGTTGGGTGCCCAAGTGACAGTAGTCCCTGGACTCTACTTCTTGACAGAGTGGCAAGGCCACATTGCATAAGAACATGTAGTGCAAAGAGATACTGTTGCAGCCTTCTTCTTCTTTCTTTTAAAAAGATTTTATTTATTTATTTGAGAGAGGACACAGCGAGAGAGGGAACACAAGCAGGTGGAGTAGGAGAGGGAGAAGCAGGCTTCCCGCTGAGCAAGGAGCCTGATGCCGGATTTGATCCCAGGACCCTGATATCATGACCTGAGCCAAAGGCAGAGGCTTAACAACTGAGCCATCCAGGTGCCCCTGCTGCCATCTTCTAAAAATTCAATTTGCCAGAGTCATGGAATGAGAGAAGAGAGGACTGATGCATGATCATAAGGCTGCTGGCCCCAAAGGCTGATGGCGGTCCTCTGGAGAAGCACAGGCAGGCTCCCTCTTGGGAATAGTTCTCCAAATGGCTCCAGCCTGGTTATTCTACCGCCTTCACTTGGCTCACAGGAAACTCCCACATCCGTGCTGAACCCAAAGAAGCAGCCACTCTTCTTGCAGACCTTCCCCCGCAAGTCCATGCTTTTGCTTCTTACTGTTTTAGATATGAGTCAAAACCTCATCCCTTGCTTTACCCATGGGGTGAACAGACTTTTGTCTTTAATTTTCACTTTTTAAATAACTTCCAGTCAATGTCAAGCTCAGGGTGAAATACTTGCCTTTGCAAGTTCTGTGTATATGACAGTGGTGACCAGCCCCCAGTGATCCTTACATCCTGTTGTTAACACCCTTGTGCTGTCTCCCGCCATGACTCTGAGCTGGTCCATGTGAAAAGAATAGTAGAGGATATAGTTTGTGACTTGGGTGGCTAAATCATAAAAGGGCTCAGTGGCGTCCATCTTGGCCTCTGCCACACTGTGGGGGATGCTCAATCAGCCCTCTGGAGAGCACTTCATCTTGGAAGCAGATTCTTCAGCCAGAGCCCAGCCGTCAGAGACCCCAGCTCCAGGGAGCCTCTTGACTGCATATGAGAGGTCCCGAGGCAGAACCACGCAGACAAGCTATTCTTGAACTCCAAGCCACAGAAACTGTGAGATAATACGTGCTTGCTGTCCTTACGCAGTCAGAGAGAACCGAGCCAGCGTCCTCTGACCTCACTGTGGAATGAGGGAGTACTTAGCACCTATCACGTCAACATTTTGTTGCAAATGTCACTTCCAGGAGACCTCTTTGTATCTTCTTTATATCTCTACATTGGCCCCTATCTTATCCCATTACTCCATTTTATTTTTAAATAATGCTTAGTGACTGCTGGAAATAAAATAAAAAACCAAACCGTATTTGTTTATTTCTATGTTTAGGCTAGTTCAGTGTCTGTCTTGTCTTGATGGAAAGTTCTATGAAGGAAGGAGCTTATCCATCTTTTCCACCCATGGCCTGGTGCTCGAATGCAAGGGTTGCTGTCATCGTCACATCTGTGCATGAATCCAAACTGGGAAAAAGGTGTGTGAGTGTGTGTGTGTGTGTGTGTGTGTGTGTGTGGTTTGGGTGGTTCCCCTTAAGGTGGATTTGCATGTACTTGACTTTTGATGGAAAAGAGAACTGAGAGAAGCCCCAGGCACCTGAGCAGGAGGCATAGGAGGCAGAAGCTGTCCAGCCCTGGCTCTGCCTCTAAGGATCCTGTGTTAGCTGCAGCCATGTACATGTATACCAACTCTGGGGACCAGTACCTGCCAGGTATGGCCCTGGCCAGGCTTGAGCTGGGGGTCAGGGATGATTGGGACCCAGATTACAGTATTCCCCACCCTGTGGCTGGAAACGGGGGCCTGAGGGACAGAGGAGGGAATGGGCTGGACTCTCACCTGCTTTTCCTCTGGAAGGGACCAGAGAGAAGGAGGAGGATGATGGTGATGACTATGAGAATATGGCGCCACCCTACAAGGACCTTCCTCCTAAGCCAGGTAAGATGACTTCTCTGAGGCCAGGTGAAGGAATGTTTGTTTCGTAGCCTGGGGAAATCAGGGTCCCCAGGGGATGTTAGCTGGACATTATGGACACACAGTGAGCCTCCTGTGTACCCAGCTTATGCCAGGCACTATGTTGGTGGGAGTATCTGTGTCTTCGGCTGCCCTTGAGGATCTCTCTGTTTGAGGGGAGAGGCAGTTCTGGGCACAGCCTCAGGCGAGCAGGTTTGAGAAGGGAGGGACAAAGAGAATGGGGAAATCTCCAGGGGGAATTGAGTGGTGGGGGGATTGGCCTCAGAGGAGGGGCTATTGGAGTGGGACTTGAGGTATGAGTTGGAGTTTGTTAGGAAGAGATGTCCAGTAGAGAACTGGTGGGTTGTAAAGGTCCTGAGACATGAAACCTGGTGTTTCATAAAACTGTGAGTGGGCCAGTGGCTCCCCAGCATCCTTGCATTCACGTTCTGGGCCCAGATTGACCTAGATCTTAGACTTGGGTGCTTCATACCTGGCCCGGGACTCAACAAGAATCTGATTAAGTGGGTATAAAAATGAAGGCTTTTAAAAAAAAAAAAGTGAAGGCTTTGTGGTTTCCCTGAGCCAAATCCCACTAGGGCCTCTGAGGGCTGACTGTGCTGTGCTGGTGTCCTTGAAGAGGGGCCATTCCATGTGGGGTGGGGTGCTGCATCCTCCACTTCTTAATCCAGAGTCAGACCAACCTGGGAGGTCCCTAGGCACCATGGGGCTCAGACGGAGGGAGGAGGTGAACTCACTTGGCTGTTTGTCTGTCTCCCGGGTCCCACTTGGTACCAGTACAGTTCTTAAACCCACCACCAAGATGACTTCACCATCTGACCATCAGTAGTACTCCTTCCCCAAAGTTAGCCTCCTCCCCATCTCTAATTGCAGCCCAATCTCTACCCCATCTTTATTTCCAAATCCAAAGTCATCACCCTACTCCAGCAGAACTAAAACCTAACTGTAACTTCTTCCCCCTACCTCAGTGCAATGCAACTCCAGTCCCAATCTTTATCTCCATCACATCCTGACTCACAACCCTACTGCCGTGTCCATCACTGTCCTCAACCCATCTTCAACCCCATTCTTATCCCAACCACAGCCTTGACTCCAACACTAGCTCAAACTCACCTGTCTTTAACTTAGGGTAAACAATTGTCCCAGTTTGCCCAGGACTGAGTGATTTCCTGGGATGTGGGACTTCCAGTTTTAAAACTGGGCAAGTCCTGGATGATCCAGGATGGTTGGTCACTCTGTCCCCATCCCTACCCTCAATTCCATTCTTATGCTCAACCCTATCCCTAGCTTTCCATTTCATCCCAGTCCTGGTTCCATCCCTGCCTCTGATCTGTTTCCGACCCTCATACCAGCTCTAATCCTGAACTTCTCTTCTGCAGATTCAATGGCTCCACCCAGGCCTCCCAGGGCAGGTGAGCTGGGGCTGGGGGTACAGGAGACCCAGTGCTGGCTTTGTCCTGCTCTGGGCCTGAGCAACCATTCTTCCCTCTCCCCCCAGGAAATAAAACGGACAACCCCCCACTTCCCTGCAAGTCCCCAAAGATCAAAGGTGAGAATCTAGGGCTGGGGTCTTTTGGCTTACCTGGATGAAGCCCTGGTCTGCATAACCATTGTCTTTCTGACCCGTTCTAGGCCTGGACCTCACCCCTGTCCCCCAAACATCTCCTCAACTGGGTGAGCTGTGGGAAGACCTTTTAAGAAGCCTGAGAGGAGACACCTGGAAGTCTTCCCTCCAGTTCCCCAATTCTGATTAGAGAACAAATCAGATGGGATGAGGGAGGTGTTGATCTTGGAAGACAGAGTCTTTCAGCAGCTTTTTTCCCCCAGCAACTTTGAATCAACCTTTTCCCCCCTTTCTCCCAGGTGTCAATCTGGAGCATCCTCCGTTCCAGCCATCCCTAGCTAGTAAGTCCTCATGCCCTCCCTGTGGATCCCTATCTTCCCTCTCATGGTCGCATGTATGCTTGAGTCAGACCTCTAGCCACAGAGGGAGACCCTGGGGGCAGAGAAATGTGTCCTTTCAGAAGCTCCTCCCCTCTGAGTCTAGACCAGACCCTGAGGGATGCAGGGTGCCTGGCTGATAATTTTTAGGTCCCACCTCCTACTTGCATAAGGTATGGGAAACATTCTCTGCCTCTGATGCGAAGGTCCTAGAATGGGGAGCAGCTTGGGCAGGGGCTGCCGAAGAGTATAAGAAATGCATCATAAATGTTTGAAGCAGTACTGGGTCCAAGTCATGCATGACCTCTGCAAGCCCTCAGGTTACTTATTTGCAAACTGGCAATAATAATTACATCTGTGTCATAAGGGAGAGGATCCAATAAGATAACAAGGATGTGGCAGGTTGCTTGGCACACAGTAAGTTCTCTTTAGTGTTCTAGGTTAGGTTGTAGTTGTGTGAGGTTATGGTGATGGTGCTGGATTTGGAAGTGGAGATAGGAATGGAGATGTGGCTTCATTTGGAGATGGGGAGGGGCTACATTTGGGGAAGGGGTGGCCCCGGAGCACAGTAAGTGCTCTTCTGGGCTTCTTCATGGTTCTTTTCCCCTGACGCTCTCTTGCTGACCCCATCTGGTGATACAGTCATGACCATGGATCTCTGTCTCTCTGCTTTTGGAGAGAGGCTCAAGTGTCTCTTCCTCACTCTCTGAAGCACTAATACTGGTCTCTTTGTCCCCATCCCCGTCCCCCAGTAACTCCAGTGTCCCAGCTCAGTCAGAAGTCCAGGTGTCCTGGATGCTATCAGGAGGAGAGACTGGTGGTGCACCTGTGCCTGCTGGTGGTGGTGTCCCTGGTCCTGGGCTGCACTGGTCTGGCTGTGACTCTGATTAAGTGTGAGTAGGAAGAGGATGGGGCATGGGGAGAAACTGAGCATTGGTCATGGGAGGACTTGAGCTCAAGATGTATTCTTCCTCATAGACCAGGAGTTGGTGGAAGAGCTGAAGATATTAACCTTTCAGCAGATGGCATGGCAAACAAATGGTAAGTGGTTCCAATTGTCCCTTCATCCCACGCATATTGAACACTCAATGTGAGCCCTCAAACCCAACTCCAAGACCACTTCCAATCCCATCTTTGCCAAGACTTGTGTTAGGTTTTGGGGCATAGGTAGGGTAGTGAACACCTCAGGCACACTTCCTGTTCTTGTGGAGTGTGTGTGTGTGTGTGTGTGTGTGTGTGTGTTTGTGCATGTGAGTCTAGACCTCCACCATCCAATATAGTGGCCATTAGTCTTGAGTCACTGGCTATTGAGCTCTTGCAGTGCAGTCATTCTGAACTGAGATGTGCTGTAATTGTGAAATACACACCAATGTCAAAGACTTGCTACAAAAAAATGTAAGATATCTTAACAATATTAATAACAAGAATTTTTTTTTTAAAGCTATTGCTTTTATTTTATTATTATTTTTTGGACCCTTCAACTTTTCATTGCAATGTCCTCAAGAGATTTTACAGGAGAAAACTAATAGGGGGATACTTTTTTTTTTTAATTTTATTTTTTATAAACATATAATATATTTTTATCCCCAGGGGTACAGGTCTGTGAATCGCCAGGTTTACACACTTCACAGCACTCACCATAGCACACACCCTCCCTAATGTCCATAATCCCACCCCCCCAACTCCCCTCCCCCCATTAACCCTCAGTTTGTTTTGTGAGATTAAGAGTCACTTATGGTTTGTCTCCCTCCCAATCCCATCTTATTTCATTTACTCTTCTCCTACCCCCTTAACCCCCCATGTTGCATCTCCTCTCCCTCATATCAGGGAGATCATATAATAGTTGTCTTTCTCTGATTGACTTATTTCGCTAAGCATGATACCCTCTAGTTCCATCCACGTCGTCGCAAATGGCAAGATTTCATTTCTTTTGATGGCTGCATAGTATTCCATTGTGTATATATACCACATCTTCTTTATCCATTCGTCTGTTGATGGACATCTAGGTTCTTTCCATAGTTTGGCTATTTGTAGACATTGCTGCTATAAACATTCGGGTGCACGTGCCCCTTCGGATCACAATAACAAGAATCTTTAATATTGATTACTCATTGAAATTATACTTTGGATATATTGGGATAAGTAAAGAAATAACATTCAAATTAATTTTGCCTGATTCTTTAAAAACATGGCCATTAGAACATTTAAAATTATGTGTGTGGTTTATATTTTATTTCTGTTGGACAGCACAGTCAGGTATTGAGAACCATTTGCCAAATTATCACTCAAATGAGTATAAAATTTGAAATCTCAATGAATTGTCCAAAGGAAAATCATTCTATTAAAAAAATATACTTAGGGATCTTGACCTTATATTTGGGAGGTTCAATAAGGGCTTCTCTAGGGAAAGAGTGCTATGGTTGAGTGAGAGAAGAGAAAAAATTAATCAAGTGAGATGTTGAGGGTTTCAGGTATATGCAAAGGCCCAGTGGTAGGAGGCAACATCATAAGTACAAGGGAGGAGGATGGTGCAGTTGAACAGGTGAGAGGTGATGGTGGCTTGAATGAGAGTTGTGGCCATGAGGATGGAGAGAAGTGGGTGGAGCAGAAAGTTTTAGGAGGTAAAAGCGACTAGACCTGGAGATGGATGGGAATGGCAGTGAGTAAGAGGGAAGGGTGTCAAGCTGGAAGAGGGCATGTTTGTGTGGGAGTAGGGAGAATACACACATTAGTTGTAGCAAAGTCTTCTGGGTTGACACGGCCTTCACCATGTTTGTTGAAGTCTGAAAATTGTTCCATTCTATGTGCATGCTTTCTCTGCACATCTCAGATCAAGCCACTGTTCTGCCCAAAACCTAGTGATGGCTTCTCACTGCCCAGAGTCCAACACGAAACTCTTGGCTTAGCATTCAAGGACCTGGACATTGGACCTCACCCTATTTTGAGCTTTAGCTCCATGAGGTTCACCTTGATCTCTACCACAGCAGCCTTCCCCAACACACTTGCCTCTGTACCTTGGCTTCCAAGGCAGCCCCTGCCTGTGGAGCCTCCCTCTTCCGTTCGCAGATACTGAGTCACCATCTTCCTTCAAAACCCACCTCCTCCAGGAAGTCCACCATCTCCACTCTTCCCCAACTCCCAGAGATCAATGCCTCCTAGGCATTGATCTAGGACCACTCTAGGACCCTGAGCCACTCTAGGACCCTCTCTAGGCACTGCACATGTCATTTTGAGTTCTAGCACCACTTACTAGAAAGAGGGTGCAGTGGGGAGCACCAATCTTGCTTCTGTCTTGGGTGTTTGCAGTCATTGGTAGGTGGGTGGGTAGATGGGGATTTGGGTTTCTAACCTTCCAGCCTATCTTTGCTAACAGTGACTGGCATGGCAGGGATAGCTGGCCTGAAGAAAGACATTGACCACATAAGAACTAACACCAACCAGTCCCTCCGAGAACTTCGGGGGTTATTAGGTGAGTGGGACTTGGGGAACTGCCCTGAGATGGGGGGCATGACAGAGCTGGCACATTGCACAAATCCATGGGGGTGATTCACACTGCAGTCTATCTGAATGGTGCTACCTGGAGTTGAGCAGTACACAGCCTGCACAACTCTATATGGCACACCATGTACATGACCCTGGCTCTGGGGCCATTCTGACAGCATTCTGTTCTGTCTCCAGATTGTACCAGGGTCATCTGCCCGGAGGGTTGGGTCCCTTTTGAAGGAAAGTGTTACTACTTCTCCCCAACCACCAAGTCATGGGATGAAGCACGGAAGTTCTGCCAGGAGAATTATTCTCACTTGGTCATCATCAGTAGCTTTGCTGAACAGGTAATCTATCCATTCCAAGCCCTTGAGAATCAGTGGGATTCACATATCCTTCCCTGGTCTGGATGGAGAGAAATTGGAATTGCTTTTGAGCCACTAAGACTTTTTTTTTAATAACAAGGTTGTGAGGACATGCCCTACTTGAGTTTAAATCCTTTTTGTGTTTCTTATGCTAAGTCTCAGTTTTTTCTCTAACCTGGAGATATAATAATGGCTATCTCTTAGCACTTTCTATTCTCCAGGCTCTATTCCAAACATCTTATATCTTACATTAACATAGTTACAACCCTGTAGGTTAATGTGTGAGTCAGGAGAGGTTATGTTATGCTAAAGTAACAGACAGTCCCCATAGCTCAATGATGAAAATGGAAGAGGCAACTCTGAAAGCTTCCACTTACTTGTACTCACAAAGCAAGTCACATGGGTCCTCCTATGCTTTTAGGTGGTAGGGAAATAGTTCCACCTGTGGAGGAGAATTGGCATTTTGTGAGCAATTGCAATGATTTGAGGCTACCACGGTTAGAGAGCAAAATGCTCTGTACATAGTACATATTATTTATACTTTACAGATGAGGAAACTGAGGCACAGTACATTTAAGAAACTTGCCTGTGGTCACTTACCACTAGCGAGTGTCAGAGCTGGGATTTGAGCCCAGATGTTTGCATGGTTTATCTTTCCCCATCATTTTATTTTATCTGTGTCATTATTTTCAAGTGGATTTCTTGTAGACAGAATATAGTTGGATCTTGTTTTTTAAATTCAGTCTGACAATTTCTAGCTCTTCATTGGTGTTTTTAGACTACTTATATTTGATGTAATTAAATTGATGGCTGAATGGAGTTTGTACTTGCAGAACTTTGTGGCTAAGGCTCATGGCTCTCCACGGGTATACTGGCTGGGGCTGAATGACAGGGACCATGAAGGGGACTGGAAGTGGCTGGATGGGTCACCTGTCACTCTGAGGCAAGTATTGAGGGCTCTTGGGATCTCTACTCCCTGTGGGTCTTTGTGCAGTTAGAGCCAGAAGATTCTCTAGAATCCCAGGCGAGGGTGGATAGAGGAGGCCGAAGGGTGCTTTTTTGCGGATAGGGCTTCTGGTCCTTGTACCTTTTAAATTTTCCTCCATTGCAACATCTCCTCCTTTTGGCACAACTGCTCAAATATATCAGGTCCCCAGGTCAGTGGGTAAGGGGGAAAAAAACAAAGGAAGGGTGGTGACAGGGCAGGAGGAAGAGGAAGTTTCTGATATGCCAAGAGGATGAGCAGGATCTCTGTGTCTGTCTCTGACCCTCTGGACTTAACATACATTAACCCATTTGTTTAATCTTTTTAATAATCCTGAAAGGAAAGTACTGTTATCAACTCCATTTTATTTTATCTTATTTCTTGTCATTTTCCATTTTCTTATCATTATCCATTTTCAGGATGAGGAGACTGAGGCACAGAGAGGTTAACCAACCTACCTCAGGTCAGAGAGCTAGCAGGTGGCAGTGCCAACCAACGTAGCTTTAAAGTCTATATTCTTAGCCATTGTACTTTTTCAAGGAGTGTATATATTTGTATTTTAAGTAAATGTTAATAAACTGCCCCTCATAGTGGTTATACCAATTTATTCTTTCACTGGCTTCACTATGCTTTTCTTCTTCAAGAGTTCGTCAAGCTTTTATAATTTTTGATAGCTTAATTATAGGTGAAAATGGAATCACAATATAGTATTAATTTGCATTTCTCTTATAATGCCTGAGATGGGGTATCTTCTCATACGTTTAATAGCCACAGATATTAACTTTTCTGTGACATGTTTATTCATATCATTGGCATATTTTTATATTGGGAATTTTAAAAAGATTTTATTTATTTATTTGTCAGAGAGAGAGAGAGAGACTGCACACAAGCAAGGGGAGTGGCAGGCAGAGGGAGAAGTGGGCTCCCCACTGAGCAGGGAGCCCGACACAGGACTCAGTCCCAGGACTCTGGGATCATGACTGGAGCCAAAGGCAGACGTTTAACTGACTGAGTCACCTAGGCTTCCCTATATTGGGATTTTTTTCCTTATTGATTTCTAAGGACTCTTTATATATTAGAGATATTAGTGTCCTGATGGGAATCTCATTTTTTATTAAAGATTCCTGGAAGAATGGGGTACCTAGGTGGCACAATTGGTTAAACATCTGACTCTTGGCTTCAGCTCAGGTCATGATCTCAGGGTTGTGAGACTGAACCCCCTGTCTGATTCCACACTCAGTTTGAAATCTGCTTGAGATTGTCTCTCCCTCTTCCTCTGCCTCTCCTGCTCATGCTCTCTCTCTCTCTCCTTCTGAAATAAATAAATAAGTCTTCAAACAAACAAACAAACAAACAGACAAAATTCCTGGAGGAAGGCACAGCTCTGTGAATAGAGAAGGCAAAGTGTGATGCTGTGGGTGCTCAGCTCAGACTCCTGGTATGGGCTGGTGCAGCCCTCCCCCAGCAAGGGGCACTGACTGCTAAAGGCTCAGGGTTATGCTCTCTAGAGAGTTGTCCTCAGGGGAATGGGGGCCTGCTCAGCTAGAAGGTTACTCCACTCCCAGTGGGGTCAGCCCATAGCCAATGAGTGGCTGAGAGAAGCCTGGATCCCTTGTCACACACTGGGATAACTCGGTGGTGCTATTCATATTCCCGAGCTCCCTGTTGGATCAGGCTGGGGTGAGATCAGACTGAACCCACATCCCAGCTCAACACCTCCTCCTCCCTCATCCTGCTTCTCCCAGTCCTCTCCTGAGAGCATCCCTTAATAAATCCCATGCACCTAAATCACCAAATCAGACTCTGCTTTAAGGAAATGTGATCCAAGACACTACAATACCTGGAAGGTTGGGAGGATTGCAGGGGCGAAGGAAGGGTTCTTTGTAAGAAGCAGAAACTGATCAGATGCAGGAAAGGGATTCAGGAGCAGATTAACCCCTGTGAGCAGGAGGTGGGGCTGAGTTAAGGCAGACAAGCTGGGGTGAAGGGGATCATGTGGTAGCTTCAGGTAATTCTGAAAAGCTGAAGAGATGATTAGGACGGAAGAGACGTGAACCATGAAGGCCTTTCCTCCTCTCCCCGCCCCCACCATATTCTTTCTTTAATTAATAGGCTTTGTTTTTTACAGAAGATTTGAGCAGAAGGTACAGAGAAATGTTTCCTATGTTCCTTCTCTCCTGCACACAGTCTCCTCTATTATTAACCCCTTGCATTTTGTGTGGCACATTTGTTACAAGTGATGAACCAATATGGATACATTATTATGAACTAAAGTCCATCATTTACATTAGGGTTTACTCTAAGTGCTGTGCATTTTACTGTTTTTTTCCCCCCTTCATTCTACTGGTTTTGACAAATATGTGACATCATGTATCCACTGTCACAGTATCACATATAATGCTCTGAAAACCCCCCTGAGCTCCACCTATTCATCCCTCCCCATGCCCACTTTTCCTCCCTCCAGCTTTTGGGACCCAGAGGAACCCAACAACCTCTTTGATGAGGACTGTGCCAGCATGAACAAAGGTGGCACCTGGAATGACCTCTCTTGTGACAAGACTACATATTGGATCTGTGAGCGGAAATGTTCCTGTTGAACCTCACAGCTGAGGGTGGGTGTGACTCTTTATCCAGTGCTCCTTGGCTCTTGGGGGTGAGAACCTTCTGCCCTTCCACGGAGGACTGCCTTTCCATGAGCCGACATGGATATAGCTAAGATGGAACCAGGAGCTTGGATATTGCAAGCCCCCTTGGGTGCAAGTGAGAGCATTTCTAGGGTGAGGATTTGAGGGCTTGTTCTTTTTTGTTTCTAATATTTATTTATTTGGGAGAGACAGTGAGCAAGAGAGAGTGCACACAAGCAGCGGCAGAGGCAGAGGGAGAAATAGACTCCCCTGCTGAGCAGGGAGCCCCACACGGGGCTTGATCCCAGGACCCTGGGATCATGACTTGAACTGAAGGCAGACACTTAACTGACTGAACCACCCTGATGCCCAGTGGGCTTCTTCAGGAGGATGGTGTCTTAGTTTGTCAGGCTGCTGCACCAAAAAACTAAACTGGGTGGCTTATAAACACCAGAGATTTATTTATTGAAATTCTGGAAGCTGGGATGTCCAAGATCAAGGTATAGTGTGTAACGAGGGTCCATTTTCTGACTCATAGATGGCCATCCTCTTGCCGTGTTCTCTCATGCTGGAAGAGGTGAGAGCTCTCTAGGGTCCCTGTTATAAGGGCACAAGAATTCTACCCCCATGCCCTAATCACCTCCCAAAGGCCCATCACACTGTGGGTTCAGATTTGGCAAATGAATTGGGTGAGGGCCCATAATGCAGTCTGTAGCAGGTAGTTTACTGGAGAGGGATGAGGTCTTAGAGATTGTCTCCAAGTTCTGGGGTCTGAGGAAACTCACCAAGTCCCTGATCATGGCTCTTAGGAAGCAGTGCTGGCTTGGGGGCTCTGGGTCTGACAATGACTGAGTTGGAGCTGAAAACTCCCTGACTCCTCTGGACCGTGGTGTGCCTGGACAGGGCTCCCAGTAGGAGATCCTGTCTGATGTGGAGCAGCTTCTGGGAAGCAGGTGGGGAAAAATTATTCTTGACAGGCAACTTTCTCAAGGTCTCAGGTGCGGTTTGCCCAACCTATGTGGCAGAATCAGGCCTCTGCCAAGATGTGTCCTATGAAACTTCTAGAAAGGCAGACCAGCTGAAAGGCAGGACTGCACCCAGTGTGTGGTCAGATTCCCAGGACTGCAGCAGAGCTATCTACCCTCCTGTGCCTTTAGGCTGTTTGTCGTTTGTAAAGATCTTTGAGGAAGTAATTCACTTTACTTCTGAGCAGACCTTGCTGGGCTATCAGCTCTTGCAATGTTAGAACTCAAAATGTCAGCTCACAGTGTGGTCCTTGGCCACTGTGTTGGTTTTCTGGGACTTTCATAATAAAGCACCACAGACTGGCTTAAATGAGAGAAATTTATTATCTCACTGTTCTGGAGGCTGATGTCTGAGATCAAGGTGTTGAAGAGCTTGGTTTCTGGTGAGGCATCTCTCCTTGACTTCTAGATGACCCTCTTCTCCCCATTTCTTCACATGGACTTCCCCTTGTCTGTATCTGTGTCCTAATGTCTTCCTTTTATGGAAGGTCATATCAGATTAGGGCCCATTGTAATGGCTTCATTTTCATTAATTACCTCTTCGAAGACCCTACATCAAAACAGTCATATTCTTGATGTACTGGGGTTAGGACTTCAACACATGAATTTTGGGAGAGATGCAGTTCAACCTCTAATACCCACTAGTTGACTGGTGCTCCTCCAGTGATTATGATAATAAGAAGCACCCCCTAGGGGGCTGGTACTATCCTGCAGCTGAACAGAAGTCGACATGGAAATCCCTTTGGACAATCCCAGAGTTGTATCCAAAGGTAGATTGACATTCTCCAAACTGATCAATTTATTGATCAACAACTATCCTTGATGACTAGAAGAATTCTTGCATTGACTGAGAGCAGGTGATCATGGCAAGGAGGTTCTGAGCAGAGGGGTGGTGGGGGGAGGTTAGTGTTCACCTCATTTCCTGTTCCATCTCTACTTGTCTCCTCCCACCTCCACACCTGCCCCAACTCACCAGTACTGAAACTAGCCTCCTCAAGTAGACTACAGACTGCAGAGTGGGTGGGCATCCTGTTCTAAACCCTCTACCCAAGGGGGCTATTGGTCTAAGTGACTGTTTATCTGGGTCAGGGGAAGTTTCTGCATCTCAGAAGAGGAAATTTCATCTTCCCCCAGTGTGTTGAGAAATGGGGAAATGGGGCTGTGGTCACATCTTTGAGTCATGCTGGGGGCGTTCCACAGTGGAGCTGGCTCAAACCTATCTCCCTTCCACATCTCTCATGATTGTCTAATTTTGGGTAGAGAGATATGTGTGAAGGAGGTCCCCTTAACCACTTTGGGTCCAGGAGAGCAAAGGTTGGGCATTCTTGGTAGATAAAAATAACAAAAACCACAGTTTATCAAGCATGTATGGTGCGCTAGATAGACACAACAGCTCCCACTGAATCGTCACAATGACTCTGTGAGGTTGGAACAATTACCAACCCCATTTTATAGCTGGGGAAACTGAGGCTTGCCCATTATCATTTAGTGAATACATTGCAGAGCTGTTATATGGACTCAGTCTGTGCCTACAATACTTGATCTCTTTCTGCACCATCTGCCACCATTCAAGGGACTGTCTGTAAACCTGAATTATTCCTGAGACTCCAATCTTGTAGCTCTTATCTTGGCTGGCACTTATGGGAAGGGACAAGTGTGGTGTGGTGGAACAGACATCCTGGGCTGAGGTAGGAGACTAGGAATGGAGTTCTGGGTCTACTGATAATAATCTGTGTGGCTCTCCTGGGACGATTATGATAATGCAGGTGAGAGAGGAAAGGGACCAGCTAGGAAGAAATTTAATCTATTTGAAGATAAAGCTAATGGGGTTTGTGGATGGATCAGATAACGGGGTGTGAAAGAGAGGAAAAAAGAATTACCCCAGGGGCGCCTGGGTGGCTCAGGGGTTAAAGCCTCTGCCTTTCAGCTCAGGTCATGATCCCAGGGTTCTGGGATGGAGCCCTGCATCAGGCTCTCTGCTTAGCAGGGAGCCTGCTTCCCTTCCCCTCTCTCTGCCTACCTGTGATCTCTGTCTGTCAAATAAATAAAAATGTTAAAAAAAAAAAAAGAGAATTACCCCAAAGTTTTCAACTTAATCAACAGGAAAGATGGAGTTATTATTACCTAGAACTGAAGAAGAAAAAATGCTTATGAACACATTTATTTATTTAATAATTTAAAAAAGATTTTATTTATTTATATGTCAAAGAGAGAGAGAGAGAGAACAAGAGAGCGAACACAAGCAGGGAGAATAGCAGGCAGAGACGGAAGCAGGCTCCCCGCTGAGCAAGGAGCCTGCTGCCCGACTCAATCCCAGAACCCTGGGATCGTGATCTGAGCCAAAGGCAGATGCTTAACGACTGAACCACTCAGGTGTCCCTACTTATTTAAATTTTTTAAAAAAGATTTATTTATTTAGAGAGACAGAGAGAAAGTATACAAGCAAGCAGGGGGACGGGGCGGAGGGAGTGAGAGAGACCTCAAGCTGACTCCCTGTTTAACTTGGAGCCCAACACAGGTCTCAATCCCAGGACCTTGCGTTCCTGACCTGAGCTGAAATGAAGGTTCAGATAGTTAACCTACTGAGTCATCCAGGCACCCCCATACATTTATTTATTTATTAAGTTTTAAAATTTTTAATTTTTTAAAAGATTTTATTTTTATTTATTTGACAGAGAGAGAGATCACAAGTAGGCAGAGAGGCAGGCAGAGAGAGAGGGGGAAGTAGGCTCCCCGCTGAGCAGAGAGCCCGGTTCGGGGCTTGATCCCAGGACCCTGAGATCATGACCTGAGCCGAAGGCAGAGGCCTTAACCCACTGAGCTACCCAGGTGCCCCGATTTTTTTTTTATTTTTAAGTCATCTCTATACCCAGTGTGGGGTTCAAAGCCACAGCTCTGGGATCCGGAGTCACGTGCTCTGCCGACTAAGCCGGCCGGGTGCTCCTGAAGGCGTTTAGACTTAGGTGGTTCGTGAACTCTTGCTGAAGTTCAAGAATGGAATCTTGTGTACAGCAGATGTGGTGGTCATGGCGTACTTAGATCCTTGATCCTCACATTTTCAGCAACTTCTAATGGCCAGCATTTGCCACCAGAGTCCTCCTGGTCTGGCACATGGCAAGTGAGAAGTGCCAGCAGGGAAATGCTTTCTGGAAGAGCTCTCAACCACAGCCTGGACTCTGTGTACACATCCCCCAGCTCCCTCAGATGAGATGAGTGAGGTGTATCCCCTGTGCTTACCCAGAGGCCCCCCCCCCCAGGATTGAACTTTCATTGCCTACTATGGTAGCCTGCTCAATAACAAATCTTTGAACACATCTTATACTGGCTGCCTTTCTTTCCCTGACTCACTTCTTCACCCTCCTGCTGGTGTTTCCTGGGGTTATCTCCAAAATAAACTACTTACACTTGAATCCTTGTCTCAGTGTTTGCTCTTGGGGGAACCCAAATTGAGACACTCTGGAACAGGAGAGGACAGGCTTGTGATGTGGTTCTGGTTTGCCTGGGATGGAGGGGTTCCTGGGACATGGGACTCTCAGTGTTAAAGATGGCAAGTGCTGGGCAGACTGGGATGAGTTGACCACCCTTATAGGATAATGCAATCCCAGGAAAACCAAAAGAAGAGAAAGCTTCCAGAAGAAAAGGGGATCATGCATATGCAGATCAAATCATCATATTGTACAACTTTTATCTGTTAATTAAAATGGGGAGCGAGGAGATTGGGAAGCAAGGAGGTGCCAATAAATCTGGAAAAAAAAACCTAGAAAAAAAAAAACCTGGAAAAAATACTTGATTATAAAATAAAGAGGACAAGTGGAGTCAACTGTGACCCAAATGTCAAGTTAGAAGAGATTGAGAAACCTCCACCCTTAACACTGAGGACGCATTTGGGACGGTGAGCCATTCCTGGGTGTGTTGGAGCCAGAAATGAGACCATAGTAGCTGAGCAGTGAGGGGGTGGGAGGAAGTGGGGACAGCAGAGCATAAACAACTTTTTTAGAATTTTAGAATTTCTCTGTGAAGAGAAAGGGAGAGGGAGAGGGAGAGAGAGAGAAAGAGAAAGGGAGAAAGAGAGGTAATTGCAGCAGGGAGGATTTTTTGGGTAGAAGGAACTAGAATGCCTGCCTCCTACTCTTCCCAACCCCCAATTATTCTCATGTCAGATCTCCTGGGACTCTCAGACAAACTTTTTTTTCCTTCCTAATTTTCATCTTTTGGCATTTTGCTATTTGCTTCGAGAGAAGCAAATGTGGTCTTCTAAGCCACTAATGAGGCTCCTGACAGTGACCACACTCTTCTTTAATTCATCCAGAAAAATTTCCCTTTTAATTATACCATTTTTATTTAGTTCCATAAAGCGTTTTGGTGCTGTACTCAAATCTCCTTATGTTCTTATCTTATTGTGTTCAATTCTTATTGGAATTATTCTTGTTTTAAGTTGTCTACCTACTCCAGCAGCTCTGTTTGATGGGTGTCAGTTACATTGGTCCATCCTTTTCCCACTTGCTAAGACCCTTCAATGTTGTCATTTCTTCTTGGGGCTCAGACCTGGGGGTTGAGAACTCTAAGCAGGGGCGGCTTCCCAAGTGATGGAAGGAGATGGATTCTCCATCTCCTTGGCACCTCCTTGCTCCCTTCTAGATTTGGGAGAAGGATTCCTCTTGCAGACAAGAGGGATCACTCACACATGGGGAGACACACACACACACACACACACACACACACACACACACACACACACGGGATTGCTGCTGGTCTATCCCAGGAGGTCCATGGACCCCTGTGCGCCAGACTCTTCCTGGAATGATTGGTGTCTGATCTTCAGCCTAGAGAACTCTTCAGCTTATCTTGGGACTCTCCACCTGGTGCATGGCGGAGACATTTCCACCCCAGATTTTCCTTTGTGGACCCCCCAGAGATACGACCCTCATTCTTACCCAGCTGTCATTGGTCCCAGAAGACTTTTGCTTCAAAGAAGTAGATATGTTAGTGTAGGGGGTAGAGAGGAATTGAGAAATGTACAAGTGGCCATTTGAGAAACATCTATTGTTTCTCTTTCTTTAGTACAGGAGCCAACAAACTATAGCTTGGTTGGGGGGTGGCATCAAATCCTGAGTGCAGCCTGTTTTTGTATGGCCAGTGAGCTAGAAATGGTTGTTATATTTCTAAGGGGCACTCACACACATATATACTCTGAAAAGTCAAAGATATCTGTTATTTGGCCTTTTGCAGAAAAAGTTCCCTGATCTCTTTTTAGCATATTTAAATACCACTGGGAGGACCAGGAGAGAGGACATCAGAGAAGGGGAAGACTCAAGACAGAGAGAGGAGGTACCAGTGGCGAAATGTCCCCAAACAGGCAGGAGGGGATGAGCAAAGTATAGATGGAAGGATTAACCTTAAACAAGAGGAGAGACTCCTTTGCTGTCATAGAAGAATGGAAGAGAGGAGTATGGGCATTGACGAGGAAAGGAAGCAAGGGTGGGTATGGATGTGGATATTTGTAAAGAATATTAGGAAGCTGAGGTAGTTTCCATCAGCTGGTGTTTATTATCTCTGTGAAGTAAGAGACAAGGTCTTCTGCCTCACGTAAAGGGAAAGGTGATGCGGATTGAGGGAGGAAGTGAAAAACTGTAACCTTCCATGAGGGGAAGTTGACTAGGGATAAGAACAGCAAGTTCCAGGTAGCATGGAAAGTCTTGTTTAGATCAGAAAGCATGTATTTATAATAACTCCAAGATGAGTGAGTCTGGGATCTCACTGCCCTGATGGAGAAGTGGTTAAGAGATGTGGTTTGTTCATAAAGAAGGATGCTTTGGACTGCAAGTACCATTACCTGACCCAAAGGGGCTTAAAAATAAGGACTTATTTGTCTCAGATAGGAGGAGGAAGTCCAAGGTTTGATTCAGCAGCTCAACAATGTCATAAAAGCCCAGATTATTAAAAAAAAAAGCCCAGATTATTTTCATCTTTTCACTCTTCCATCCTCAGTATTTACATGGTACCTTCTCTCCAAGCATATTATTGTGTAACAGCCCCAAACAGGAAGTCATGAGCAGGCTCTACTTGATTTGTTTTTGTTTTTATCAAGGAGAAAAAGTATTTTCCAGTAGGTATTTCTTATATCTCATAATCTAGAGTTGGTCCAAATGCACTCATCCTACAACAATTTCTAGGAAACAGGAATAGAGTCTCTGTGGTTAGTTTGGGCTAGGGTTTCTCGACCTCAGCACTACTGACGTTTAGGGATTGATAATCCTTTGTTGTGTGTGTAGGGGCTGTCTTGTGCCTTGTAGGATGTTTAGCATCATCCCTGGCCTTTACTATATAGATGCTAGTAGCCTTCCCCACCTTTCTCTAGTCGTGACAACAAAAAATGTCTCCAGACATTGTCAGATGTCCCTAGTGGGGGGATCACTTCTAGCTGAGAATAATCGGACTTAACCAATCTCATCTGGCCCCCGTGTCCAAGCATATTGCTGTCCCAAGTCTGCAAACAATGATGGTTCTGTTAATAAGGAGCATATGTTTGGTGGAGACTGCTGAGCAGACAATCTGCAGTCCTGCCATTGTTGGATTGTTTCTGGATTGAGGTGTTTCCAGGTAGTTATGGAATCAGAATGAGGGAGCAAGGTGTTGAAACTATGGGAGAAAATCATTTGACATGGTTGATCATGAGATTTAGCCTGTATAAGAAAGGAGATAAATCTGATGGTTTAGGTGAAACTGATGGTCTGAAGGACTGGATGAGTTTATTTTTTATTTATTATTATTATTTTTTAGATTTTTATTTGTTTATTTCACAGACAGATAACAAGTAGGCAGAGAGGCAGGTAGAGAGAGAGAGAGAGAGAGAGAGAGAGGAGGCGGCAGGCTCCCGGCCAAGCAGAGAGCCCGATGTGGGACTCGATCCCAGGACCCTGGGATCATGACCTGAGCCGAAGGCAGAGGCTTTAATCACTGAGCCACCCAGGCGCCCAGGACTGGATCAGTTTAAAGAGCAAGGTCAGGATGAGTGAGTGTAAGAATGCGAGGAAAGGCGTTGGAAGGGGCCTCCTTGTGTACAAAACATCAAGGGAGTATTTGCCCATCATTTGGGCATCCAGGGATAAGAATTGGCTGAACACATGATAGTGAAGAGAAATCCAATGAAACACACATTAATTGAGAGCCCAACATTTCAGGAAGTAAAGGCTAAACCTTTCCGCTCCAAGGATGACTTCCATAATGATTTCCCTTGACTTCTTCAGCTTTATTCCTCACCATGCCAATCAGATCCTGGGGTGTGACTTTCCACGTGGAATTGAATGTTCTAGTCTGAATATTTTCTCTTCACTTGCTCTGGAAAAACATCCGTCCACAGAAGGTGTTTAGATTAAAGGTAGATGTAAGGATGAAACAAAACAAACCACAACCACCAACAAAAGAGGAAGAATGTTACCGAAGGGGTAGGTTCTTTGCCGACTCAATACCATTCACCAAATAGCCAAACAACAAAAACAGTATTTGATGGCAAGCAGGTGATTTATTCAATGGCCAGAGAACAGCAGGGGGGGAGCTTACGTTCTAAAGGCACCTTTTCCCCAGTTAGGTCATTGTTAGAATTTTATAGGGTTTGGGTAATTAAGAGACTGGTAAGCAAGCTGATCAGGGTGGGGAGCTTCAAGGGAGGGGGAAGAGGTTTCTAGGAATCAGAGTGCCACCTCTGTTCTTCTCTTAAATGAGCACAATGGGGTCTGTCCTGTTGCTGGTGGGTGTGTTTTTTGTTTTTACAATTAGATGGTAATGATCTTGGGGTCATTTGGAGGGTTAACATGGCATCTGAACTGGATCAGACTGGTCAAAAACTGGTCAAAATAAAAAAAAATTATGGCTTGTTCAGAGCTTGTTAGTAAGTCCCTAGTGACAAAAGCTCCATCCAGCATTCAAGGATGACACGATCTAGCATTTTGGAATCCTAGGTCAGGCGTGGACTTCTGCAGCTTATATGGGAGGACTTCTCAAAAATCCCAGATGAAGAATTCTTTTTTTTAAATTTCAGGCACAGTATCCTGCTCTAGAATTTAAGTTGGTTTTTGTCTATGAAGAAAGTCCCGTGAAGGCAGAGACTGTGTTGGTCTTGTTCCTTTTGTAGGTCCGTTGCCTACTACAGTATCTTGATGCATTGTAGGACTCAACAAATATAGTTTTTACCACCCACACGTTACAGCTTGGTTTAAAAGCCCCAAGTCCCACAAGAAAATCAGTACCTCCTACAGCAACTCATGAAGGTAGAAGTTCTTGGCCTGGTTGAGGAATGAGTCATTGTATGCAGACAGTCCAAAGCTATCATTCCCCTCCTACTATTTATGGTTCATTCACAGAACTCCCTGCCCAGTCAAACATGACTTTTTCCACAAACAATATTGCCTGGTTACACAACTGGCCTTTCAAGGTTAGCAAGTTTCCAGGGAACAGAGCTAGAAATTTATACCAAGGGCAAATTTGTTCATAGAGAGTGAAAGGATTTTTTTTAAGCTTTTTAATCATATCCTGTGCCTAGAAAAATAAAAGCTTAAGAAATTCTTTTAATTAAAGTGAGCGTTATATCAAACTAATGAATCATTGAACTGCATCAAAAACTAATGATGTACTACACAGTGGCTAACTGAACATAATAAAAAAATCAGATACAAATATAAAAAAATTAAAGTGAATGTATTTCTTACAGTTAATTAATATATATATTCCCCTTTCAAAGATACAAGCATCTTATTCAACTTCCACAATGTTAAGTAATGATAATAAAAAATCTCCAGTTCCTGAGTGCTGGAAGCTTTGGGAATTATTTTGGATTATCTGAGATGCCTTTCAAAGGTCATAGTCAACAGCCAGCACCTTTTACAATTTTACTCTTATTGGGAATGATTAAACCTTATATTTATAAATTTTTTTTCTGATTGCTTGACATGCCCTAAGCCTTTTATTCCTGGTTCTGTTTTCCTTTTGGTCCTTTTTGAAAGATTTAGAATGAATTCTCCTTTCTGTCCTCCAAATAGGGATAGATAAGTTTTTAGTGACTCAGTATTTCCAGTGCTGAGAATATCACATACTAGCACAAGAAAAGTAGAAGACAATATGTTGGAAATTTCTCAATTTTGTTCATTTTAAAAACAACACATTCTAAGACTCCTTGGCTTGCAGATGTAGTGGGTGTACACATGGGAGTATACAAATGAGACTGGAAAATTTTTATGGATTATGAGTTTTGGAGCCCAACTTGCTCATCTAGGGGCATGCCTTCTTAAAGAAGGATATGTTCTCATTTTTCCAAAAAGATAAATAAAGGACCACTGTAGAGAGGTACAAGGTAGTGCATTGAGCCCAAGTTAAATCAATGGAAGAATGGATGGATACCAGCCATTGAGTTCCACAGAGGTCTTCTTTCTAACAGGACCATTTCCTTTCCCAGGAAGGTTCCATTATTCCATGTACTCCTCCCTTATAATTATGTAAACAGCTGGGGTGGGGTCCCTCTCTTTTCTATGGTATCTACCAACCCCACTGGGCTTATATTCACCTCTCTACGGGATAGCAGGATTTCGGAGGATGATGACCCCTGTGCTATGTCAGAGATTGTACGTCTCCCCCACAGAAGATTCTACTTTAGATGGTAGTGGTGCTGGTGATATGTCTTCCCCTGTTCCTTTGTATTACAAAAATATATACACAAGCTAGCTTAAACACTATCAGTAATCAGGGAAGAGTCACTGAGGAACAATACAGTGAGAATGGGGAATGCAAGTCAGATCATCAGGAAGAGCTCTTTGCCATTCCCTCTGGGTAAGGGAGCTCATACTAAGACAGGGAGAGGGGATTTGGGGTGTTGTGGGGAGAAGCATTAGAGTAAGTCACAAGCCCTCTTACTTCACTGGGTTTTGAGTCAGCGCCAAACTTGGTGGAAAGTGTATAAGCCTCAGACTCAGATTTAGATTTCGTGATCTCTCCAAACCACTTTCGGACCTGGAAGATCAAAGAAAATACTGGAATCATTTTTGTTAACATCGGTGAAGAGAAAAACCAGTGAGTCAGGAAGAGAATAAAGACATTATTAAAAAAACCTTTCCCTACAACATGGGGTATATATGTAAAAAGGAATATTATTTATGGAGCCTTAGAAAGGAAGGAAATTCCGACACGGTCTACAACATGGATGAACCTTGAAGACATCATGCTGAGTGAGAGAAGCCAGGCACAAAAGGACAAACCCTGTCTGATTCCACATATATGAGATCCCTATAATAGTCAAACTGGTTGAGTCAGAAAATAGAATAGTGTTTATCAGGGACTTAGCAGTGGAGAGTGGATAGAAGAATGGATATATGGATAGACAATGTGATAATATAAATATAGCACAAAGGTAATCACAGTGATTGGGATATATGTGTTCACTGCATAATTTTTTTAACTTTTTGGATGCTTGAAAATGTGCATAATAACATGTTGGAAAAGTTAACTTATTATGTAATGCCATCATAGAGCTATTAAAACATATTAGTATGGAGAAAATACTGTCACATGGAAATGTGTTTAAATTCATGTATTTAAGTGGTGTGGCAGATTATGGATTTCATTTCATTATGGATTTCAATTACTCACTCCTCTGTCATAGTATTACGCCCTCATGGTGGGTGGAAGGTTCTTTTCCCTTGACTTTGGGTTTAGACATGTGACTTTCCTGATGAGTATCAGTGGAAGTGATGTAAGCAGGACCACAGGCTTGAAATGGCCTTGCCTTGTAGGGCTTGTTTTCTTGTGATTCAGCTATTGTCATGAGGAGAACATTGCCTAGGTTGCTGCTCCCTTTCTGCCAAGCCTCAGGATGAGTCACAAGGAGCAAATCTGAACATGATCTGTGTTCTGGGGGCGAGCCAAGCTGAACCCAGACAAGATCAGCTGAACCTCAATCAACCTTCAGACTTGAGTATGAGAAAAGTAAATATCTGTGTTTTGGGTCCTGAGATTTTTTTTGAGGTCGTTTGTTACCCAGCAATAGCTGACTATTACAAGTGGGAAAGCTGAAGAAAAACATATTTCCTTGATGTAGCAATTATTTACTTTCTGAAAACTGTCAGTAAATTGATGTATCTTACAATCAAGAACAGCTTAGAGGAGAGAAGATTGGAGAGTGTTTACATATGGCTCAGAGCTCCTATGAAAATTTAGAGAACATAGATTTAAATGTTCCTTAAAGCACATACCTCCAAATAGTTCTTAACTTTATGACAATAACAAAAGGGGTCATTGTTTACCTGCTGGCTGAGGAGGCAGTAGACCAGGAAGATGAAGACGCCCTGCAGGCTGTTGATGATGGTGAAGAGGTAAGCCATGACGTGGGCAGCTGGACCCACCTGCAGGACGCCCAGGAACCAGGTGCAGCCCAGGATGAAGAGCTGAGCTGTCGCTTTCAGTGTCAGCATCCTGAGCAGCGTCATACACAATGATGTGAAAAAGCTAATAATGGCCACGGATACCCTATCATGTAGTCGTCGATGGTGAGGATTCTGGAGCTGAACTGGCTGGGTTTAAACCCAAGGCAGAACTAACTGGCTTGTGACCTTGGGCAAGTTACTTGAGCTTTCTGTAACTCAGTTCCCTCATCTTTATAACAACCTTATTTCACAGGGTTGTTGCCAAGACTAAGTGGGATTTTAACATAGGAAAAGCATTTAGGAAAGTATGTAGAACAAAATTCTAAAACTGGATGCTCTTCATCTCTCTCATCATATCATTTATAGATAGACAGGGAGGCTTTTGAGGCAGATGTGGTGCTAATTAACAATTACAATGGGACAACAGGCCTGACTGTCCCAGGCAGACTCAGATATAAGGTCATCTTACTTATGTCTCTATATATCCCTGATTAAAATATATAATAATACATAAGTGAGAAAAGCTAGTTGGAGAGCAATTTGTGTAGTGTGACACTATTGGGTGCATGCCCGTCTGTTCTACCGAAAATTCACAGCCCAGAAAAAGGTCTGGGGAAAATATTGTACATATCATACAGTTTGTTACGTCTGGCTTCCCTGAGAAGTGGAAATAGCAAAGAAAGGGGGGAGTTAACCACTTTCAGATTTTACTTAATATATTTTAAAAACCTTTAAAAAATGTTTAACAAATACACTATTTTTGTGATTACAATGAAATAACAACAAATTACATGTTCACATAAAACTAATGCTGCAAAATGAAAAAGTCCTCATCGTTCAAAATATCATGAAATAATATCATACAAAATATATTTTAATCAAAATCCTTCCCAAACCTATTGCATCTTGTGTTATTTGGCAGAAATTGCTATTTTTTCCCCCATTCTCCTCTTCTTCATTTTAGAGCTAGATGCTTCCTTTTTTTGAGTTGTACCAAGGACACATGGCTACCTGGTTAGAGACTACATTTCTGGCCTGCCTTGAAGGTAGGTGTCACTGTGTGGTCCAGGTCTAGCCCTTGAGATACGGGTAGATGTAGAACATGCCCCTTCTTTCCATGGGTGGGATACTGGCAAGAAACATCCTGGGGAATGTGGAACAACAAAATGGAAAGGACTCAGGTCTCTGGATTACTTTGTGGAGTCAAGCTTCCCCGCTAGCCCTGGACTGCTCACCTCTAGACTGTGACATGCAAATGAAATAAACTTCTATTTCACTCTTTTTTAAGGGTCTTTTTGTCACCAAAGCTTAGCCTGTACTACAGCTAATACAGCTTCTCATTAACCATGACACTGGGAGATGGTAGTGGCTTTGCTAGTTCCTGAAACTTAGTTGTGGGTGTATGTGTGTGTGGATATGTAGAAAGGACGAGTGGGGCATAAGTAGAGAAAAGAGGGCATCAGAAAATACCATTTACCTCACCTTACCTTGTATTCTGGATGGTTGACACTTCACTGTTGAGTGAGGAAAGTTTCCTTTTTAAAATCCAAAGGATCAGGAGAAAAATAACTAGATTCACCTGCAGGAATAACACAGCTCATGCAGAACACAAGTTAAAATAATGCACCGTGTCTGCTGTAAATTGCACACAATTCCCACCTCCCTGCATGGGGGATTGAATTGGTAGCAGGTGGAAAATCAACTCATACAACCGAGAAAATGCATGCCCCTTAAGCATAAGGGGCACCCATCATGCCTGGTGCTTCTTCTTTTTTTTTTTTTTTTTAGATTTTATTTATTTATTTGACAGAGAGAGATCACAAGCAGGCAGAGAGGCAGGCAGAGAGAGAGGAGGAAGCAGGCTCCCTGCTGAGCAGAGAGCCTGATGCGGGGCCCGATCCCAGGACCCCGAGACCATGACCCGAGCCGAAGGCAGCGGCTTAACCCACTGAGCCACCCAGGCGCCCCACCTGGTGCTTCTTCTTCAGTTGGGAACAACACACTCACTCACACAGATAATGGCGCAGACAGGGCCAAGGAAACTCCAGATGAATCCCTGGTCCAGGTTGAGCCAGCAGCTGGGAACAATGGGAAAAGGGGCACAAAGAAAGATCAGAGAAAGTGCATGAAACGAACACCTTTTCCTAATGCTTATCCAGCATCTCCTGATAATGTCAGTGGATTACAATGAAGGTTTTGATTGTTCATTACCATGTGTTAATGCTACACTAAACATTTTACTAGCATAGTCCTGCTGAGGTTTTAGACCAGCATCGTGAGTGTGGGACCGTGGGGACAACTGTTATCCCCATTTTGCTAATGGGGACAATGAGATTTCAGAACTCGAGGTCCCAAGTTATGGGGAAGATGGAGCTGGGAGTTAACCACAAAATGTCTTCTTTCCAGAACCTTCCACACTCTTTTTTTTCCTAAAGATTGTATTTATTTATTTGAGAGCAAGAGACAGAACACGAGCAGGGGTAGCGGCAAAGGGAGAGGGAGAAGCAGGTTCCCCATTGAGCAGGAAGCTGGACACAGGACTCTCTCCCAGGACCCTGAGATCATGACCTGAGCTGAAGGCAGACACTTAACAGACTGAGCCACCCAGGCACCCTAAACCTTCCACACTCTTACTGTCATCTTTCCCTGCCTCACCGGGAAAGAAGTTAGAGCTGTTACAGCCGAGGGGAAAGGAGAGTGGGTTCAACGTGGATATTCCAATCATCGTTAACACTGTCCTTAAAACTGTCCACAGCACAGGGTGAGAGTTGAGCTCACCGATCAGGTGTTCCATAAAGGTCAGACTTGATCACAGCAGAAATGGCCACAATTATAGCTGGGACTCCATAGCCCACGGGGAACATGAGCTTCTTCATGATCTTGCTCACGCTGGAGTAGTTGACCACCGTCAGGTTACGTGCAGTGAAGAAGAGATTCAGACCCTCCAGCAGCATCCAGGTGAAGGAGGCCAGGTAGAGATAGTGTAGGGCACCTGCGATGATGGCGCACAACACCTGGGGTGGAGAATGGTGTCACCAGGAAGGATTGTCAGGGAGGAGGGTGGCCCTAAGACTTGTACCATACCTTGCTATTGGAAAAACTCTCAGGTATATGGTCGAGTTGTCAGGAGAGGGTTTGTCTTTTAGTTCTTTAGTCAATGTGAAATAGGCTACTTATGCCTCTAACCTTCCTGGGAACCAAGACCATTTTTTTTTTAAAGATTTTATTCATTTATTTGACAGAGAGAAATCACAAGTAGGCAGAGAGGCAGGCAGAGAGAGAGGAGGAAGCAGGCTCCCTGCTGAGCAGAAAGCCCGATGTGGGGCTCGAACCCAGGACCTGGGATCATGACCTGAGCCGAAGGCAGCGGCTTAACCCACTGAGCCACCCAGGCGCCCCCCAAGACCATTTTATTAAGGTATCATTGCAGCATGGCTCTATGAACTGAGCACCCCTGGGGTAGAGCAGGTGCTCCTCTGTGACAGTGTCAGTACCTTGATCTCAGTCTGGTCGATGGCCGTGAGGAAGAGCAGGTGGGCCAGGAAGAGGCAGATTGAGAGCTGCAGGTGGATCGAGGTGCTGGTGTTCTGGATGGTTTTGCACAGCAGGAAGGTGAGGGCTGCCAGGAGGAGGCACAGCAGAGAGATACCCAGCCCCACATAGGTGATCACAGTCAGCCCGGGATCCTTCTCCTGGGACCCAGCAAAGAGGACATCATAGTCAGTCTCCAGGATTAATCCCCCTCCCTCATGGAAAGGGGCATCCCAAGCATAGGCATGATTCCCGATGATAGTGTAAGACGTATCTTTCAGACTAAGGTTTTTCCCCCAGCTTTATTGAGGGATACCTAATATAGAAAATACTACACTTATTGAATGCACACATTTTGATGAATTTGGACATAGGCACATGTCTAGGATGCCATTACCACAATCAAGGTAATAAACATATCCATCACTTCTAAGATCTGTGTTGCTTTGACTTTTTCTTTCTGCGATAAGAAACAACATAAGATCTATTCTCTTAATAAGTTTTTAGGTGCACAGCTCTCTATTAACTAGAGGCTCTGCATTGTACAGCAGACTCACACTGAAATGAATGAATATGCTAGGCTAAGTCTTGCATCCAAGAGATGTAGGAAACCCTGTGTAGTAGAGGCTGTTAGCTTCTTCACACCCAGTGGTACCTGCCCTTTAGCTGCTTTCTGTGAAATCCAGTGACCCTGACTGAGAATATTTCTCTTGCCATATGAACATGCTTGGACATGCCAGAAGGAGTCACAAGTACCATGATGTGAATGCCCCTTGAAAGCTGCCCTCAAGCAATAAAATTATGGCATTGGAGGATAAACACCCCAGCTCCCTCAGCTTTATGTGGGAAGACTCTGAGATGCATGTTCTGTGATATCTCCCAGAAGTACCCAATGGGATTGAGTCCCAGTTGTCTGAGGGAGTAACTTTCTCTTTAACACATCCTTTATTGGCTGCCTTCTCTTCTCTGTCTTACTTCCCTATTGTCCTATTGATGTGACTTAGGGTCACCTCCCAAAGAAACTACTTGCCCTCAAATTTTTGTCTCAGGATCTGCCTTTAGGAGATCCCAAACCAAGACATCTATATAATTCAGCTCTTGGTGACTCATTTCATTAAGGACAGGAGCCAGGAACCTGCCAAGCCACGCAAACTTAGTTAAGACTTACAGGTAGGAAATGATAGTTGCCATCCCTTATAATGATAAAGGGATTTTCAGTTGTTTCAATGTCACTTTATAGAACTTTTTAATCCCTTGCTTTTTGAACCTTAAAAAATTGTGAAATATAATACACATACAGAAAAGAACATACACATAAGTGTACACATGATTGAAAGTTATTAAATGATTGGTAAGATCATTAGTCCATAGACATTATCCCAGAAGCTCTTTCCAATTGCAAATCACCTTCTCCCCAAGAGGTAACCATGATCCTTTTATGATAAGCAGTTCCTCTCTATGTCTATAGTCTTACTACCAAAATATGCAACCCCTGAGAATATGGCTTAGTCTTGTCTGTTTTTAAATTTTGTACAGATGGAAATACACTCTGCTCCACACAGTCACTCAGAAACCCATGATAACAGAGGCTTCACCATCTGGAGAATGTTGCTTCCTTGTTACACTGGGGGATCCCACAAGGGATTTTCTATGTCTCATCCCAGAAAAGTAGCATTGCTTTTCCTTTTCAGATTTTTACTTAAATTCTAGCTAGTTGATATACAGTGCAATATTGGCTTGAGAAGTAGAATTTAGTGATTCATCACTTACATACAACACCTCGTGCTCATTATAGCAAGTGTCCTCCTTAATACCCATCACCCATCTAGCTCATCCCCACCCACCTGTAGCATTGTTTTTAATAGCCCTCAATGGGAAACAACCTAGATGCACATTAACTGTAGAATGGATAAATAAATTGTAGTATATCCATGCAAAGGAATATCATATGGCAATGAAAATAAATGAACCAAAGCCATACACAGCTCATAGATGTAATGATGAAGGAAAGGAATGTTTTATGTTTTCAAACCCATTTTAGCTTGCCTGCTGCCCTCTGTGATATGAGAGGTCAGAGATTTCCCCCAGATGTCATTCTGGGGGTACTACCTCCGTCTCTGTGAGGAGGGGTGGGATTCAGGACTTCCTGTGTCCTGTCACTCAGCCTATGTTATTAGTGACTCCTCTGACCCCGCCTTTAGGATATGTGTCCAGTCTTCCTCCACCTCTACTCCTGCCACCCAAATACTGGTCGCCATCATCTTTCTACGAGTCTGCTCCTGCTGTGTCATGATGTATGGTCAATCTGGGAGCCAGAGGAATGTTCCAGAGGAAGTTCTAGTGACAAAAATACGCAGCATCTGGGATGCAGACCCTCCATTGCCATCCCACTGCCATTCGAATGAAACCTAAATTCCCAACAATAGCGTTGGGGGTCTGACACATTCTTCTTGCTCCCATCTCTTTAACTGCATCTCCTTCCACTTGCCCATCATTCACTTTGCTCCCGCCACACTTTTTTCTGGAAGATGCTAAGTTTGTTGTCTCTTCAGGACCTTTATCTACCCACAGAGCTCTTCTTGGGATGCTTTTCTCTAAGGACTTTTCCTGGCTTTTTTTTTTTTTCTTTCCCATTGAGGTAAAATCCAAACAATATGAAATTAACCATTTTAAAATATGCAATTCAGTGGTATTTGATACATTCACAATGCTGTACAACCACCACCAGTGTCTAGTACCAAAATATCTTCATCACCCCAAAATACAATCCCATGCCCATTAAGCACTTGCCCCCATTTCTCTCTCTCCCCAGCCCCTGACAACCAGTAAGTAAATTTCTGACTCTCTAGGTTTGCTTGTTCTGGATATTTCATATAAGTGGAATAATAGGTAGCCCTTTGTGTCTGACTTCTTTCATTGAGTACGATGTTTTCGAGGCTCACCTGTGTTATAACCCTTCTGACTCAATATTCAGACTGCAGCTCAAATGCTTAATTCTTATAGATGTCACCCTGACCTTTCTATGGAAACCAGCATGCTTTCTGCAATCATTCACTCTAGTCCCTGGTGTTTTTTCCCCTTTTTCTTTTAAAAGAGTACTTATCTAGTAGGAGCTCACATAGGATTAGCTGGAACAATTAAATGTATACATTGTACCTGGCTGGTTAAGGCCATGAGGACAGCGAAACTGGACAAGTGGGTGGAGTTGCATACGGTGTGAGTTTCGTTCTCTTGTATCAGGAAACAGCCATCCCTGGACCACTGGCCGTGGTCCCCTGTGCTTTTCCAGTACACGCAGAAGGCCTTTCCTTTATTGGGCTTCATCTGAAAGTAAAAGAGGCTCATCAAGTTCTTCCTTGGGAGGGACAACCCTCAAGAATGTCGATCTACATGGGGTGGGGGGTAAGCGAGGAGATACATGGCTTAGAAGTGACTCAGGTGATTTCTACTTTGAGTGAAGAAGATGGCTGCCAGAACACCTGCTCCCCATAGTCCCAGCTCTCTTGGGGTTCCACATACCATAAAACAAGATCAAGTCTCTCTGGGAGCCAGAATTTTACAGGATGTCATTGGTTTCAGGACTTTACCCCCTACCATGGAAGTCAGATATAAACAAAAAAGTAAATAAATAAAAAAGTCTGTGCCTCATACAGAGTTTTATCCTAAACACTCTCTAGGACAGATGTCCCTGATTTCTTCACACCAGTTCTGTCCCTGACCCCTTACAACACAAAGATTGCTCACACAACAAGAGGGGAAGTTTAGGAAAGAAATGAAGAGAGAGAATAGAATTAGCCTTTAACCTGTTCTTTTTGTCCCAAGGGTTTCCAGAGCTTCACTTCATGGGGCCAAGGAGATGAGTCAAACACTCTCCTGTTGAGGGGCCGTATCTCCTTTGATAATCCACCAGACCACCTCCAAATTTCTTGTTCCACTCCAACTGCCCCATGCCATATATGAAAAATTCTGTACTTAGGTTGCATATGATAGAGAAAAACCTACATTTCCCACTCCCTCATTCTTATTTTCTTTAAAATTAAGAAGTAATTTTATTTTTTCCAGATATAACTGACATAAATTATGTAAGTCTAAGGTATATAACCTGAGTTTTTGTTATATGTGTATATTGCAACATGAAGTTAGTTAATGTCCATCACCTTATGTAGTTACGATTTTTATTTTGTGACGAGAACTTAATCTACTCTCTTAGCAACTTTCAAGTATGCAATATAGTATTGTTAACTGGAACCATCATGTTGTGGGTTACATACCCAGAACTTATTCTACTTGTAACTGAAAGTTTTGACTGTGCAGAAACCTTTGACTTTCTGCACTTTCTTCCTCCCAATCCCCACCCGTGGTAACCAAAAATATGTTCTGTCTGTGAGTTTGGCCTTTTGAAATTCTACACATAAATAAGAATATACAGTAGCTGTCATTCTTTGCCTGATTTATTTCACTTAGTATAATACCCTCAAGATTCGTCCATGTTATTGCAAATGGCAGGATTGCTTTCAACTCTTACTTTTACAACAAAGCCGAAAGGCAAGGGAACAGATGAATTTTATTACATCTGGGTCTGGCTACACCTTTCTGCCTTGAAGAGTTTGGGCCGAGAAGGGGAAAAGGAAGGAATTCAATAAAAATTTTTTCTGATCAAGTTATGTAGTCTTTTTTTTTTTTTTTTTTAAAGATTTTATTTATTTATTTGACAGAGATCACAAGCAGGCAGAGAGGCAGGCAGAGTGAGAGGAGGAAGCAGGCTCCTTGCTGAGCAGAGAGCCCGATGCGGGGCTCGATCCCAGGACCCTGAGATCATGACCTGAGCCGAAGGCAGCGGCTCAACCCACTGAGCCACCCAGGCGCCCCGAGTTATGTAGTCTTAATAATTAATACCAGGCTTTTGTGTGGGAATGAACACCATGTCTCAGTTCAAATTTCATGGACATAAAATTGGAAGTACCTCCAACTAAAATAATCGCATGCACTAGAATTATGCTGCTCAGGAGAAATTCCATGTGAGCTACTTGTGTAATCTGAAATTTTCTGCTAGCCACATTAAAAAAACTGAAGAAACCTTTCAAATTAATTTTAACAATATATTTTACTTAACCCACTATATTCAAAACACTATCTTTGGGGTGCCTGGGTGGGTCAGTGGGTTAAAGCCTATGCCTTCGGCTCAGTTCATGATCCCAGGGTCCTGGAATCAAGCCCTGTGTCGAGCTCTCTGCTCGGCAGAGAGCCTGCTTCCCTTCCTCTCTCTCTGCTTGCCTTTCTGCCTACTTGTAATCTCTGTCTGCCAAATAAGTAAAATAAAAATCTTTAAAGAAAACACGCTATCTTTTAGTATGTCAATATAAATCAATATAAGCAATTATTATAAAAATTATTTTTTAAAAAAGATTTTATTTTTTCAAAGATTTTATTTATTTAATTGAGAGAGAGAGAGCGAGAGAGAGAGCGTTAGTGAGCAGGGGGTAGGGGACAGAGGCAGAGGGAGAAGCAGAGTCCCTGCTGGGCAGGGAATCTGATGTGGGGCTTGATCCCAGTATCCTGAGATCATGACCTGAGCTGAAAGCAGGCACTTAACTAACTGAGCCGCCCAGGTGCACCAAAAGATTTTATTTTATTTAAGTAACCTCTACACCCAATATGGGGCTCGAACCCATGACCCTGAGATCAAAAGACACATACTCCCCTGATTGAGCCAGTGAGGCACCCCTTGAAAGTTATTAATGCGTGAGAGACTGTGGACTCAGAAATAAACTGAGGGTTTTGGAGGGGAGGGAGGTGGGGGAATGGGTGAACCAGGTGATGGGTATTAAGGAGGGCACGTATTGCATGGAGCACTGGGTGTGGTACATAAACAATGAATCTTGGAACACTGAAAAAAAATTAAGATGTTAAAAAATTATTAATGATATAGATATTTTGCATGCTTTTTTTTTTAATGAAGTCCTCAAAATCTTGAACTACCAAGTCTAAATCCGGAAATACTAAGTCTTCAAAATCTCAATTCAGATGCATGTTTCAAATGTTCGATTGTTACGTGAGGCTCCTAGCCAAGGTACTGGACAGCACAGCCCAGAGACACTGGCTGGGGAGGGTATGCACATTGTCTGCTCTACCTCCAAGACACCTAAGCAAGTTCAAACTGCAGCTCTGACTCACCTTCATGTGCTGAAAACTCAAAATCACAGACTTGGAGAGAGATTTGTTCCTTTGGGGTCCAATAGCGGCACTCACTACCTCAGAGTTCAGGTAAACTCGGTCTTTCTCATTTGACTCTTCAAAAAAATGTTGCATTTATGATGTTTCCAAGGGAAGAATAGGAAATAAGGGCAATTGCCGTGGGACCTGAGAAAACAGAAAAATGGGGGTCTTCAAAAGTGCCACCATTCCTGCCCACACCCTCCACGCTCACACACATGATATGCACACAGGCATACATATGCATGCGTAGTCACCTACATGAAGGTCAAATGAAATAGAGATTCTCACTGTCTCTCCCTTTCTCACCTCTGAGACAGATACTGTGCTTATGGCCTTGAATCCTTTTTTGTATTGAATGGGGTAAAACTTGGGGGAAGAGAAGAACTGGACAAACCAAGAGAGGTTAAGCTGATTTGCATCAGAACCGACGTGGCTATAGCTTTAGGAGAAAATGCTGTAAAATAAGATGGGAGGAGGGCAAATAAGAGGCGGATGGAATTTTGAGGGGGGAGGTGGGGGACCCCAGGTGGGTCAATCGTGAAGAGGAAGATTAGGGGGTTAGGTAAGTCTTCTGTGATGTCATTCCATTCCTCTGTTGCCTCCTGAAGAGACTTCTGATCTCTTCTGATATATTTTTCAAGACTTTTAGAATTGGTTTTGCATTCCTTTTGGATGAAGCATAATGTTGAGACTGGACTCAAAGAAATCCATTAACAGTTGGGTTACATGTATGTCTGTCTATTCGTATGCATGTATGAATGGAATCACCCCCTCCTCTATATTATATATGTAAACCAGATCTAGAAATAATGTATATAGAAATCTATGCCACTACCTCTATCTATCATCTATCTATCTATCTACATATCTTTCCATCAACTTTTTTTTTTTTAAGATTTTAAGATTTTATTTTTTTATTTGACAGACAGAGACCACAAGTAGGCAGAGAGGCAGGCAGAGAGAGAGGAAGGGAAGCAGGCTCCCCACTGAGCAGAGAGCCCAATGTGGGGCTTGATCCCAGGACCCTGGGATCATGACCTGAGCCGAAGGCAGAGGCTTTAACCCACTGAGCCACCCAGGTGCCCCAACTTTTTTTTTTTTTTTTGATGGAATACCTACTCAGGTCCAGACACTATTCAGGGGATACAGTGGGGGAAAAAGAAACCATTTCTGTTCTTACAGAGCTTACTTTCTGGTGCAGGAGAGAGACAAACAAATATAAACAAATGAGTAAAAGTATATGTCAGAGAATGATCAGTCCTAGGGATAAAATTAAGTGAGGTAAGGGGATGTTACTTCAGACAGATTTCAGACAGCAGAGTGAAGGGAGGGAGGGCCACGTGGGTATACTACAGAAGCCCGCTCTAGGTAGGTCTGAAATAACAAGGCAAAGTCCCAGAGACTCGAATGTGCCCAGATGGTTCAGGGAGGAGGGAAGGGGGAGGAGGTCAGTGTTGAAGAGGGGGGTGTGTGTGTGAGAGTGGGAGGAGGTGAAGGCAGGGATGTGATGGGGGCAGATCGTGCAGGGCTTATAGGCCTTGAGGAGGACTTTTTTTTTTTTTTTTTAAAGATTTTATTTATTTATTTGACAGAGGGAGATCACAAGTAGACAGAGAGGCAGGCAGAGAGAGAGATAGAGAGAGAGGGAAGCAGGTTCCCTGCCGAGCAGAGAGCCCGATGTGGGACTCGATCCCAGGACCCTGAGATCATGACCCAAGCCGAAGGCAGCGGCCTAACCCACTGAGCCACCCAGGCGCCCTTTGAGGAGGACTTTTGCTTTTATTTTAAACCAGAGAAAAGCCACTGAAGGATGTTAAGCAAAGGAGTGCCATAATTTAACATACTTAATTTTTTAATTTTTACTTTTTTTTTTTTCTGTTTTGAGGGGTTGGGAAGAGGGAAGGGAGTGAGAGAATCTTGAGCAGGTCCATGACCAGCTCAGAGCCTGACACAGGTCTCTACTTCACAATCCTGAGATCCTGACCTGAGCTGAAATCAAGGGTGGGACGCTCAACTGGCTGAGCCCCCCAGGTACCCCCATTTAACATACTTTAATAAACTTAAAAAATAGATGTGTACAGGCTATATTTATATCACATATTTATGATTTTATTACGTATTAGAAGGACATGCACATGACATATATCAATAGGATGGTGTTATGAGCCAAATTGTGTCCCCCCCAAAATCAAGTTGAAATCCAAACCCACAGTACTTGAGAATGTGACTGTGTTTGAAGACAGGGCCTTTATAAAGATAAGGCTAGAGGAGAGAGGGACTGATTTGGGTGCTGTGATGAAACGGGCAATCCTGGGAGGCCTCATGGAGGAGATGAAAGCTAACTTGCATCTATGAGTAAAGAAGAAGAGATATGGACGCACAAAGAGATACCAGGGATATGCACTCAGAAAGAAGACCATGTGAAGACACGGAGAAGTTGGCTCTCTGCCAGGGAGGGAGGCCTCGGAAGAAACCAACCCTGACCATGCCTTGATCTCAGATTTCTAGCTTCCAGAACTGTAAGAAAATAAGTTTCTTGGGGTGCCTGGTGGCTGAGTCATTAAGTGTCTGCCTTTGGCTCAGGTAATGATCCCAGTGTCCTGGGATTGAGCCCTGCATCGGGACACCTGCTCGGCGGGAAGTCTGGTTCTCCCTCTCCTACTCCTGCTGCTTGTGTTCCCTTTCTTGCTGTCTGTCTCTGTCTAAAAGGTAAATAAAAAATCTTAAAAAAAAAAAGAAAATAGATTTCCCTTGTTTATATGTAATAATCAGTTAGTAACTACATATATATATATATATAAACATATAAATTAACATATATATATTTGTAGTTAGTTTGAATATAGTGGGTTATAGGGCTACAGTATGGATTATGGGATTATAAGATGTTATCACTAAGTTTTCTTTATTGTTTGTAGCTCCCAAGAAGCCCACACTGCAGTTAGGATTGTAGGGACAGGAAATAGGTTAATTGGTTTCTGGATTAATATCCCAGCCTTGCCCCTTACTACCTACGCAGCTCATCCTATCGGAATAAATTCCTTGGTAGGTTTCTCTAATCGGGTTTCTCTGGTCCTGCCTGAGGGGTCAGAAGCAATTCATTTCTGTTTCTCCGAGTTAATGACAGTTTCCATTTGTCAGAATGAAACAGTGGTGGGTGGTTGGAAAAGACGGGCAGGTGATATGTCCACCTGTTCTCGTGCATAGAAATAACTTATTTTTGGCCTGAAGTATTCTGGTTAAGAGCAAAATCGCAAGCAGAAAAGAGAAGGGTGGCTGTAGATGTCCACAGTCAGCTTCCAGGGGCCTGGGTTTTGTTCTCTGGGATGTTTTACAGGGAGAGGATGTCATGGGATTGTATGTTTCGGGTTACTAAGGACTGTCCAGGGTCCACCTCTGGGGGGTGTCTGGTGTAATTCGATAGCACCTCCTTTCAGTCTTAAAGTTGTTACTGTTTGAAGGTCAGTCACTCTCCACAAGCAGTTCTCATGGGGTTAGGGGGCGATTCTGCCCCCTTTGGGGACATTGGGCAATGTCTAGATGCATTTTTGGTTGCCACACTGGGTGTTTGCTTCTGGTGTCTAGTGAATAAAGGCCGGGGTGCTGCTAAATAGCCTATGGGGCACAGGGTGGCCCCCATGACAAAGAAGGATCCTGTCCTAGACAGGACATGGACAGAGAAATGTCCCTCTGGGAGCTTGTCACATATCATTCAATGGGTTGTTTTCTCTCATTAGGAACATTGAGCCCTTCACCTAAACATGGATATAATTCAGTGAACATTCATCACTGTTCTCTACATAATGAGCCCATACTGGTGACTCTAGAGAAAAATAATTCATGATTGCCATCTGTATGGGGATCCAGCCTGGTGGGGGAGACAAGGACATGACAGTCAAGACACAACACAACAGGCTAGATGCCAGGATAAGGCAGGTTCAAGAGACGGGGGTAGTGCAGAGGAGGGAGGGTCTGACTTTGGTGCTGTGGTGGAAGTGGGCAGTCTTGGGAGGCTTCACAGAGGAGGTGAAATTTGAACCATGCTGAAGAGTAATATTTCACCCAGTGGCTTGGGGGTGGCATTCCTGGCAGAGGAACAGCCAATGCAAATGTTCGGAGGTGAGACTATAGGGCCCATTGGGGGAGGGTAAATAGTCCTCCACGGGGTACTTCTATGCCAGGTGCCCCTTCGGGCACATGAAATCACATTATGAGGTCTGTAACTCCCTTAAACAATTCAGTGTAGGCTGCTCTCGCGGGCTGAGCTGTGCTGTCACTGAATTCACATGAAATCCTAATCCCGTACCCCAGAAAGTGATCAGAGAGCATGTGGGGCTGCAGGTGTGCTTTGTATGGCTTGCACTGTGGAGTTTTGCACACTTTCTACAAATTGTAAAATTCAGAAGAAACTCCTGGTGACAAGGCAAGCGTGAACTTGTGTGGTTGGAGGTTGGCCTCCATGCTCTGCCCGACACATTCTCAAACACCGGGGATTTGAATTCTTATCTTCTTTGGGGGAGGAGAGGAAGTGATAGGAACTGATTGTCTCATGACACTTCCTCAGTTCAGCATGTGGTTGGTTTTCCACATTTTGATGCTTTTACTTGGGGCCTTTCGCTGTTAGTACAGCTACAGACCAGCTGTACCCCATGTTTACAGGATTAGATTTTAAGACCCCAATTGTCATGCTATAGCAGTTATAACGATAGGGCAGTTATTGTAAGACCAAATTTAAAAATTGAAGGTATTCATGCAACCAACCCAATTTTTGGTTTTTCTTAAAAAAATAGAAAGTCTGGCAATACTGGGACAATTAATGGTAACAATCCATTCCTTCATACACAGCTGTAGCAGATGCTGTAGACATCCTAACTTTATTCGCTTGGCACTCCGGGGTACCTTATATGTTGATGGATTCTCCAGCAAGCAATGGCAACTCTCTGCCTAGGAGAACTGCCTGCAGTGAATGTGCAGTGAATGTGTTGGATTGGTACACAGGGCAGAATGGCAGGGCCCTCAACCACTGATGGATCAGAGTGGCGCTCTCTCCTTGGATGGGAGAGCTCAGTGAGATGAGTCATGGTTACCACCAGCAGTACTCACTACCATAATTATTAATGCCTGTATTGGCTTCTCCTCTTCCTTGTCTCATTTCTTTTCTCCCCCACTGGGATGGTTAATTTTATGTGTCATTGTGGCTAAGTCATGCTACCCAGATATATGGTAAAACGTGAGTCGAGGTGTTACTGTAAAGGTATTTTTTAAGACGAGAGTAACATTTAAATCAATAGACTTTGAGTAAAGCAGAGTACCGTCCACCATGTGGGTGGGCCTCCTCCAAACAGTTGAAGGCCTTAAGAAAAAGACCGCCTTCTCCCAAATAAGAAGGAATTCTGCCTGTAGCCTATCTTTGTCTGTAGCTACAACATCAATTCTTGCCTGGGTTTCCAGCTTGCTGGCTAGATTTTAGACTTGCTACCTTCCACAATCGCAGGAGCTAATTTCTTAAAATCTCTGTCCCTGTTTCTCTCTCCATTCCCCTGCCCCCCCCCCACCATATTGATCCTGTTTCTCTGGAGAACCCTGACTAATATACCTACTGAAGCTTTCTGGAATCACCCACAAATAAACTCCTTACTCTTCTCTCAGGGACTGCTTTTGGGTGAACCCCAACTGAGACCAGGACAGAGCAGCCCCTAAATTGCAAAGAAGGGTCTTCCATGCTGGAGAATAGAAAGCCTCCACTTTGGGAAGATTTTTTTTTTTAAGGAAAAGACTCAAATGACACAATCTTAAGGTAACAAACCCATTTGGAAGGAGCCTGTTGGTGACTCTCCTTATGACTCATACAGCAATAGTGATCTGTGTGTCTTAGATGTTCTGAATACAGCCACCAAGTGTACCTTGTATGTTTCCCTGCACGACGTCATTGCAATGGATGTCCACTGAGTTCATGTGGGTGTTTAAGGTGAAGATCTGTTCTTCTTCAGAGCAATTGTCTGTAACAACTCGCGTTTCAATAGCTGGTGAGAAAAGCAATATGCAAGCTTGCCATTATTATAAGCTTTAAACACGCATAGCAACACGGACGGGTGACAATTACTGAATGTCTAGGACATGCCAGGCACTGTACATTGTCAAATAACCTGTGAGGGACCCTTATTTTAATGAGGAAACTGAAGTTCAAAAGTTAAGTAAGACCGTAACTCTTGAAATACCAGTTCCCAACTACCGTTCTCTAGCAATCATCTTCTTAAAAATTTTTAAATTTATTTACCTATTGAGAGAGAGAGAGAGAGTATGAGCAGGGGGAGGGGCAGGGGGGAGAGAATCTTAAGCAGGCCCTGTCCTAGGCATGAAGCCTGGTGTGGGGCTCGATCTCACGAACGTGAGAGCATGACTTGAGCTGAAATCAAGAGTGGTAGGCTCAACTGACTGAGCCATCAAGGGGCCCCCTCTAGCAATCATCTTTGAAACAACAGTTCTGTTTCTAGGAATTTATTTTCAGAAAACAATCATGGATGGGAGGGTAGATTTAGCTTCAAGAAAGTTCACAGCAGCAGAGATGATAGTGTGAAAAATAGGAAATGATCTAAATGTTCAACAAGGAAGATTGATTTAGTAATTGATGGCTTATCTCTATAATAGGGAACCATGCTTCCGATGAAAATAAAGTCACAGGAGAATTGCCATCAAGAAACAAGATCATGAAAATATTTAACTTAAATATTAGCAGATGGCTGGAGGCTGGTTGTGGGTTTGAAATTGTTGAAACTGGGTGATGGGTACATTCCTCCTGTGTCTGTCTATTCCCTGATGAGGGGAATGAAACCCAGTGAGGTGAGGACAGTGGTCTGTCCCATCAGTTAGGACCTGGCCAGGTCAGGAAAGATGAGAGCTTATTGTAATATGGAAAATGGTTTAATTTTGAGTGAAATGAATGAATGAGTCCTGATTCTAGTTAATGAATGTGTCCTGATTCTAGTTTTCCAAGAAGGTTAGGCATGGGGTTTTATTTTATATTTAAAAATTTATATGAATACCTAACTTTTGTAGCAACATGGACAGGACTGGAAGAGATTATGCTGAGTGAAATAAGTCAAGCAGAGAAAGTCAATTATCATATGGTTTCACTTATTTGTGGAGCCTAACAAATAGCATGGAGGACAAGGGGAGATAGAGAGGAGAAGGGAGTTGAGGGAAATTGGAAGGGGAGATGAACCATGAGAGACTATGGACTCTGAAAAATAATCTGAGGGTTTTGAAGGGGCGGGGGGTGGGAGGTTGGGGGAACCAGGTGGTGGGTATTGGAGAGGGCACGGATTGCATGGAGCACTGGGTGTGGTGCAAAAATAATGAATACTGTTACGCTGAAGAAATAAAAAATTAAAAAAAAATTTATAGGGGCACCTGGGTGACTCAGTGGGTTAAGCCTCTACCTTCAGCTCAGGTTATGATCTCAGGTCCTGGGATTGAGTCCCGCATCGAGCTCTCTGCTCAGTGGTGAGCCTGCTTCACCCTCTCTCTCTGCCTGCCTCTCTACCTACTTGTGATCTCTCTCTCTCTCTCTGTCAAATAAATAAATAAAATCTTTAAAAAATTTATTATTATTATTTTTATAGAGCATAAACTATCTTAGAATACAAATTGGTAAAGCAAAATGATTAGATAGGCATACACTGATCCTTAGATATCCTTGGGTTGAATAGAAACACAGCAGTGTCTCTGGAGGCAAATTTGGTGAGATGTATCAAAGTCTATAAAATGTTTCTTTTCTCCTTGATCTAATGTTTCTTCCTCTATGAATCTATCCTAAGAAAATATAAAAAAAATGAACACAGTTAAATTTTCAATGGTCTTTTTCATGGGGTTACTTGGCAACCACCCACATTCCCCAGAATAGGGAACTACAGTATAAATAAACATACAATATAAGTAAATTATATACAATGCAATTTGATAAACCATTGAAAACAATAATGTAGGGAATGATGATGTATATAATTTACACAGAGAGATGTTAGTGATGTAATAAGTAAAAACTGTATGTCCAATGTCACAAACACAGCAAATATGCATCTGTATCAGACAAGCATCTATGTGGTTATAGGATAGGAAGTCTGGGCTGTGGGCAGATTTGGCTGGTCTAAATTTAGTTTTGTTTATGTGTTTTTTTCCTTTTTTTTTTTAATTTAACACTTGGCTTTGCTATGATATTTTATTTGTTTTTATTTTTTTAAAAGATTTTATTTATTTATTTGACAGACACAGATCACAAGTAGGTAGAGAGGCAGGCGGGGGGGGGGCAGGCTCCCTGCTGAGCAGAGAGCTTGAAGCAGGGCTTGATCCCAGGACCCCAGAATCACAACCTGAGCTGAAGGCAGAGGCTTTAACCCACTGAGCCACCCAGGCGCCCTATTTTTATTTTTTAAAAGAGCGAAATGATTACTAAGATCAAGCTGTTTAACATGTCCTGTCACGTGGTTATATTATGAATATATATGAATATGTATGACAAATATGACAAAAGTATTTTTATTTCAAAAATATGCAGTAAGATGTTCTTTCTGGGATGGAACTGTGATATGGGTCAGTAGGTATTAGGCGTTGGATTAAAAAAAAAAACAAACCAAAAAAATTACTTTTAAGCCCAAATCCCAGATTCAGGATTGGAAACAGCAGTCTTTTCTTTCTTTCTTTTTGTTTTTAAAGATTTTATTTGTTTATTTATTTATTTGAGAGAGCGAGTGAGAGAGCAGAGAGAGAACGAGCAGGGGAGGCACAGAAAGGAAAGCAGACTCCCCACTAAGTGGGAGCCCGACACAAGATTTGATCCCAGGACCCCAAGATCATGACCTGAGCAGAAGGCAGCTGCTTAACCAACCAAGCCACCCAGGCACCACCTTTCTTTCTTTCTTTTTTTTTTTTTTTAAACAGGTCTATGGAGCTGTGATTAATGTGAAAGAAATTGTACATAATACAGTGTACAATTTGATGAGTTTTATTGAGTGTATATACCTATGAATATACTATATTCCTATGAAACCAATGCCATAATCAAGATACTGAACGTGTCTCTCATCCCCAACAGTCTCTTCAAATTTTCCCCTTCCTCCCCCCATCACTATAGATTAGCTTGCATTTTCTAGAAGTCTATATAAATGTACTCAAGCAGGGTATTTATTTATTTTCCTAATTGTGTAACTCAGACTCCAGCTTATAATTAGCCCCTGTGTATCAGGCCAAATCATTTTCTTACCCACAGTACTGTTGTGGATTTTCTGGATTTTTTGCTCTGGGGATTTCAAGGCAGTGTCTAGAGCATCTGTTTCCAAAGTCTGGAGAACACCTGTGGCCCAAGATGCGACTTTTTCCTTCTCTCCCGTTCCCAGCAGAGTTTTATTAGCGAGAAGTGACTCGAATGTCTCAACAACATGTTGCAGCTTTGAAGATACAAAGAATAAGAAAACAAATCCAATCTGATAGATCTCACATCCGGAGGGAATGCAGAAAGCATGAGAAGGCAGCTTCTGGAGCCAGAGGACCTGGTTTCAATCCACCATTGACCAGTTGTGCGAACTTGGAAAAATCACCCAATTACTCTGTGCCTCAGTTTACCCAAATTAGGATAGGCACAGTAAAAGGACCCCATAGAATTTTGGGGAATATTAAATGAATTAAGAGATGCTACCTTTTTTGAACAGTCTCTTTGGCTGCTATACACCAGATGAAGGTTCGTTATTATGAACATCTTTTACTGACAGGGGAAGTGGTAAGGTTGCCAGAAATAGACCAGTGGTTCTCCATTAGGGCGATTTAGACCGCACAGGGACATTTGGTAATGTCTGGAGACATTTGGATTGTCATCACTGAGGGGTGCTACTGATATCTGGTGGGTGGGGGCCAGGGATGCCGCTCGATGCCCTGTAACACACAGGACAGCACATCCCCGCCCCCTCTGGAAAGTGACCCAAACTCAGGTGTCGATGGTGCCAAAACTGAGAAAATGTGAAGTAGAGTTATAGCTCAAAAGACATTCTAACTGGCCTTTTTAAGTCAAGAAAATTTTTTTTTTTTAAAGATTTTATTTATTTACTTGAGAGAGAGACCGTGAGAGAGAGCATGAGCAAGGAGAAGGTCAGAGGGAGAAGCAGACTCCCCATGGAGCTGGGAGCCCGATGCGGGACTCGATCCCTGGACTCCGGGATCATGACCCGAGCCGAAGGCAGTCGTCCAACCAACTGAGCCACCCAGGCGTCCCTAAGTCAAGAAATTTATCTATGAAGTAAAACAAAGAGACAAGCCAGAGGGGAGAAGAATGAAGAGCCAAGGTGAAGTTTTATAAATATCTGTGTAATATAATTGTAATCTAGGTGACTTGAAAGATGATTTTTATGCGAATCCCCACATCCTTGTACTTAAAGTGTGGTCCTTGGACCAGCAACATCAGCATCACCTGGCAGCCCGTTTGGAATGCAGTCTCTTGGGGTCCTGAGTCCAAATCCGTACTTTAACAAGCTCCCCAGGGGATTTGTTGCACAGACACACTCCGGAGATATTGCAAGTTTGGTTCCAGGCTCTGACAATAAGGTGAGTATTGCGGTAAAACTATTCAAATAAAGTTTTTGGTTTCCCAGGACATATAAAAGTAAGTGTGTAACAGCATTTTGTCCAAAAAAACGTACAAACCTCACATCACCCGGCACTCATCATGGCAAGTGCACTCTTTAATCCCCATCACCTCTTTCACCCATGAGCCCTGGGTGATGTGTGGGAGTGTTGAGCCACTATATTGGACACCTTAAACTCATATAACACTGTATGTTAACTAACTGGAGTTAAAATAAAAACTTTAAAAAAAGCCGATCAAATTAAACAATGTGCAAACCTTAACTTAAAAAATACCTTATTAATAAAAAATGCTAATCATCACCTGAGCTTTCAGCGAGTTGTAATCACTGATCACAAATCGCCACAACCAATATGGTAATAATGAGAAAGCTTGAAATACTGTGAGAATTATGAAAATGTGCCACAGAGACATGACATGAAGTGAGTCAACACTGTTGGAAATGTGGCACCAATAGAGTTATTACATACGGGGTTCCCCAAACCTTCAATTTGTAAAAATTGCAATGCAAGTACAAGAAAATGAACCACAATGACGTGAGGTATGCCTGTATGTTAAAGACCTAGACAGGATGGGGACTTTGTCTCACTCACAAAATGACACCTAGAACAGTCCTTGGCAAATGTAGGCGCTCAGTAAGTGTTCATAGGTCGCATGAATGCTCTTGGGAAAAAAAAGGCTATCACATGAAAGCGTTATAAGCAGAGCGATCTATCAAAAGGGATGGAGGAACATTCAGAACCAGGGTTCAAATAAATCTTTTCAAGGTTTTGCTCTTTGGCTCTGAGTCTTTGTGAAAATTCTGAGCTGAGTTTGCTAGTTTACAAGCAACCTCCATTCCTGCCCAATATGACAGCAGAAATCATCTTGGTTTAAATTGATTCGTACATAGTAGGCACCAAAGTATTTACGCTTCAGAATTGCTATTGAAGTGTCTGATCCAGCATGAAGGCTTTGTACCTTTTCCTGGTAATGCATTTGTTAATTGAGGTGAACGTCACACAACATGAAATGCCCCCCTTTAAAGTATACAATGCAATGGCCGTTTAGTATATGCACGGTGTTGTGCAGCCACAACCTCCATGTAGTTTTAGAACATTTCCATCATCCTGAGATAAAATCTTTTAAGCAATCACTTCCCATTTTTCCTTCCCCTGGGTTCTGGAAACCACTAATCTGCTTTCTGTGTCTATGGATTTGCCTGTTCTGGACAGGTCACATAGAAATGGAATCCTACACTGTATGACCTTTACGTCTGGCTTTTGGTACCCAACATGATGGTTTCAAGGTTTATCCACGTAGTAACATGAATTAGAACTTTATTCCTTTTTATGACTGAATAAGATTCCACCGTATAGATATACCACTTTTTAAAAAATCCATTCATTTGCTGATGGACATTTGGGCTGTTTCTTCCTTTTGGATACCATGAATAATGCTGCTATGAACATGTGCTTGCAATGATGTTTTGAGTCTCTGCTTTCAGTTCTCTAGGGTGTATTCCTGGGAGTGGAATTGCTGTGTCCCAGGAAGGAGGAAATGGGCAATGAAACTTCATAATGAAATGTTCCTGTTAATTACATGATTGTTCACTACTTCCATGAACACTTGTTGAACTCCCTTTGTGCGCTTGGGCTGTTTCCTGCCCTCAGGAAGCTCACTGTCTAAGTGGGACAACACGTCATGGAAATGTTGCAAGTCTGCCAGAGGTAACAATGGATAACCTGGATGGAGGGTGTACTCTGGGCCAGGCCACTGTGTTAAGTACTCTATGTATAGTATTTCATCTAACCTTCCTTCCAAGGAGGAAGGTGCCATGAAGACCCCCCATCTTACAAATGAGTAAATCAGTCTTGCAGAGTGTGATGGTGAATTTTATGTGTCGACTTGGGTGGGCCAGAGGGTACCCAGATATATTTGGTCAAACATGATTCTGGGTGTGTCTGTGAGAGTGTTTCTGGATGAAATGAATACTTGAATGGGTAGATGGAGTAAAACCAGATTGCCCTTTCCAATTTGAGTGGGCCTTATCCGGTCGGTCCAGGGCCTGAACAAAACACGATGTCTGAGTAAGAGGGAATTATCTCCCTCCTGAATGCCTGACTTGTTGATTGCTTTGAGCTAAGACACTGTTTCATGTTTTGTTTTTTTTTTTTGTTGTTTGTTTGTTTTGGTGTTGTTGTTCAGGCTTGCCTGAAACATCAGCTCTCCGTGGTCTCAGATCTCTGAGTTTGAACTTGGAATGACCCTATTGATTCTCCTCGATCTCTAGCTTGTTCACTGCAGATCTTGGGATGTGTCAGCCTCCATGATTGCATAAGTGAATTCCTTATAACAAATATCTTTTATCTATGTCTCTTGTTGGTTCTTTCTCTGGAGAACCCTAATACAGAGGGTTGTGTCATTTTGCCCATGTTACTTGTCACTGTGATGCTGTGATTTGAACCTCTTCTGACCTCCACAGAAGAACATGGGGAAAAGGATATAAACTCATACGGAAGGGTTTAAGGAGACCATCCAGTGGGATGTGAAACCTGGATTGAGTCTTGAGCAGAGAAGGTTAGAAGAAAGCCAGTCAGGTGAGGAACTGGGAACAGAGTTGCAGGCAGAGAGAACAGCAAGTACTTGGAGGCCTGGAGCTTGGAGGGCAAGATAGGAATGGTCCCTCTGGAGTAGAGCAGGGTAGGGGTGGGGAATAGGGAGAGGAAAGGATGAAAGGATGAAAGAATGACACTGGTCATTCTCTCTGTTAACATTCAGAGTCAGTTTACAGACACTAAGTGATTACTACCTAACAGGCACTTTTTTTTCATTTAATTCAATTTTATTTAAATTCAATTAATTAGCATATAGTGTATTGTTAGTTTCAGAGGTGGAATTTAGTGATCAGTCGCATACAACACCCAGTGCCCATTACATCATGTGCTGTCCTTAATGCCTATCACCCAGTTACCCCATCCCTCATTTCCCTCCCCTCCAGCAACCTTTGGTTTGTTTCTGTGGCTAAGAGTCTCTTATGGTTTGCCTTCCTTTCCGATTTTGTCCTCTTCTATTCTCCCCTCCCTTCTTCTATGCTCCTCTGTTTTAAAAGGCACTTTCTTGGTCTGTCTTTTATGACTGCCTATCATATCCATTCCCCTTCCCCCTCCTTTTACTAATTGAATGAATTCCTTAGATTTTACCTGAACCATGTTCCTCATATACAGACCACACTGTCCCAGCTTCCCTTGCATCTAGTTTTGGCTGTGATACCTCCAACTTCTGGGTTGTTGCTTTAAAACATATCTCCAAGGAAATTATTACAACTTCATTAGCATATAATCGAGTGAGTAGATGTATCCCTTTTCTCCACTCTCCCCTCTTCACTTTGTGCTCTAGACAGATTGCCCTGGACTCATCTCCCCTCTACCCACCGGTACAAATGCCACATTGCAGCAACCCAGTTTTGGTCATGTCATTGAGGACAAGATGCCAGGAGATGGTGGAGCAGAAGTTTGGAAAGAATGTGGGTACCCTTAATGGCCTCATGGAGAGGAGTCCTTTCACTGGCGTGGACTGTTAACTCAGAAAGTAATAAAGATCCTTCTTTTTAAAGCTATTGGATATTTGGGTCTCTTTGTTGTAGATCAGCATACCCTAATATAATTTCACTTAGACTGTCTTTCTTGATCTGGGATCAGTCCTATCTTTAGGTGGCAGTATACACACATGTGTGTACATGTGCACACATACACATCCGTATGTACATAATACTCTATCGCTACTATGAGATATATAGCAATATTCATATAGTGATAAATAAGGTGAGATACATTTGTATATTCCACAGTTATACATAATATAAATTATATATTGCAGAGTATTATTGTGTTATAATTAATTTCTACTATATTATAATTAAAAACTATTATATTAAGCTATGTTACATACCATAACATAGAATACATAATAAATATGACATATCACACACTTATGGTACACAGATGATATACAATGTATAGTAGACATATAATATATAGTATCCACATCCACTTGCTAATTTTGGGCTTTGTAAACATTTGTTACCTGGCTGGGCTCAAGGGCTGGGCTTGTGCTCATATCCTTCATGGCTTTGGTTGTCGCTGAGGAAGTGGTTTCTGTAAAAAAAAAATCAAGGGAAGTTATTGTTGGAACCAAGAGTAAAAGGGTGGAGAGGTGGACAGAAAGGTGAATAGAAGGGCTGAACTCATACTCTATTTTATTTTTTCTAATTTAAATTTTTCAGTGTTCCAAGTTTCATTGTTTATGCACCACACCCAGTGCTCCATGCAATACATGCCCTCCTTAATACCCACCACCAGGCTCACCCATCCCCTCACCCCCCGCCCCTCCAAAACCCTCAGTTTGTTTCTCGGGGTCCAGAGTCTCTCATGCTTCATCTCCCCCTCTGGTTTCCCCTAATTCACTTTTCCTTTCCTTCTCCTAATGTCCTCTGTGTTCTTTCTTTTTTTTTTGTTTTTTGTTTTATTTTTTAATTTTTATTTATTTTTTAATCATTTTTTTAAAATTTATTTTCAGCATAACAGTATTCATTGTTTTCATACCACACCCAGTGCTCCATGCAGTCCGTGCCCTCTCTAATACCCACCACCTGGTTGTGTTATTTTTATGTTCCACAAGTAAGTGAAACCATTTTTTAATTTAAAAATTTTTTATTTATTAATTTAAAAAATTCCAGAATCATTAACACACAGCATTATATTAGTTTTAGGTGTCCGATAAAGTGATGCAACAGTTCTGTACATTACTCGGTGCTCATCGACATCATCTGTCCCACCCATCCCTCCACCCGCCTCCCCTCTGGCAACCGTTGGTTTGTTCTCTATAGCTAAGGGTCTGGTTTTTGTTCCTTTTTTGCTTTTGAACTCATATTCTTATTCACTGGCAAGGTTGTGCTCTTTGAGGGATCAGAGTAGAGTTCCTTAGCATGGTGTACAGCAGTGTTTTTCAACAGGACGTCATTTTGCCTGCAGGGGTCATTGGCAATGGCTGGAGGCATTTTTGGTGGTCACAACTTGGGGTGGGGAATGTTACTGGCATCTAGTGGGTGGAGGTTTGGGCTTGGGGTGCTGCTTAATATCCTGCAATGCACAGGATGGTTCCTGATCACAAGGAATTATTAGACCCCAGATATCAATATTGTTGTGATAGAGATATCCTGGCATAGAGGACGCGGGAAAGCGTAAACTCCAAATTCTTTAATTTGGTCTTGGCTGGACATTACAACTGAAATGGTTGATGGATCAGAAAACTAGATACTTCAGATTTTAAAATTCAGCCTGTCAGGGAATTACAGCTGAAATAAGAGTGTCAGTTTTTGGTCATCAGCCGTTAGTGAGACCTTTGTGTATTTCTTGCGCTTTGTGAGTACCACCATCTCTGTTTTAGAAAGATGAGGAAAAGCGAGTCAACATTGACATCAAGTTACTATCAGTCTGAGGTTATGTCTATATTTCTTCTATATCCTGGTTTTCAGCCATGTCTATTGGCTAACAAGGATGAAGAGCTTTCTTGTAATAGCAAAAGTTTTGTCTTGAGTTCAGGAATTTTGACTTACAACCCTGAGTCTAGAATACATTTGTTATTGCAAACCACATTTGTTGTCAAAAACAGCACTTTTGGCTGAAAGCTGCATACTTTTTTATGGGGGCTTTCTTGGACCTCCAACCCTAGTGACAACTAACTCCAGATGGACTCAATCTATGTGAGAGTATTTGTAGTTCACATGAAACACTTAAATATTTTCTTCAAATTAGAGCACAACACAAGACGAAGAAAAAATAGATATTGACACACTCATACCTATGGTTGTGCATGTAGAGATTTATTGTGTATGATCTCTGTGCCAATATACAATATAGATGTAGAGTTAATCATGTTTGTTATCCACCAATCAATATATTGGAGCTTTGTCCTTTAGGGATAATTTTCAACAGTACCAGTTATCATAATGATCAAATCAAGGCCTATGTGATCTGATGTGTATATTGCCATGCTGATTATTTGATTGTTAAAGATCCATGAAATGCACTTTTCATTTTCCTACTTTAACTCTCTTATTTTGCCATATCTCTTGAAATAACACCTAGTGAATAGAGGAAAACATGTTCGATTTTAAAAGGAGTAATTAGAGTGAAGATGGCATTGCCAAGTGATAGTCCAGAGGAGAAGGACTGTCCTTTAAAATTGGGAAAATAACCAAAGGCATTTCTTTTCCTTGTACAAGAGAGTGCTTTAACAGATCAACACCAGGACCCAGGAAGAATTCCAGTTTGTACATTGTCAGTAGAGGTGCCTGTTGCCCAGTAAAAGGCTCATTCACTTTAGGTTCAATCATATTAATTCATTCAACAACTATTTATTGATTGAGTTAGTGGTGGGCTTATGGCCCAGCAATCCCTACCCACCAGCTTGTGCTCTTGTCTCTCACCTTCCCCATATGGACTCCAGCTCACTTTTGGAGCTTATGCACCTCCAGGACCCTGCTATGGGCTCCAGCTTGGACTTGGGGAAGTATGGGAACCTGGGCTTGAATCTTGCAGGAGCACTACCTATTGGTGGGAATTATAATCTTGATACTAAACAGTTGCCTGAACTTCCCCATGGCCTTTTCAGTAGGAGCAGGGAGGTTTTTTTTTTTTTTTAAATTCAGTTAATTAATATATAGTGTATTATTAATTTCAGAGGTAGAGTTCAGTGATTCATCAGTCTTATATAACATCCAGTGCTTATTACTTCCTGTGCCTTCCTTAATACCTATCATCCAGTTACCCCATAACCCCCACCCAACTCCCTTCCAGCAACCCTCAGTTGAGTCTCATCTGGTTTGTCTCCCTCTCTGATTTCATCTTGTTTTATTTTTCCTTCCCTTTGCCTATGCTCCTCTGTTTTGTTTCTTAAATTTCACATGTGGGTGAAATCACATAATTGTCTTTCTCTGATTGACTTATTTTGCTTAGCATAATGCCCTCTAGCTCCATCCATGTCATTGCAAATGGCAAGATTTCATTTTTTTGATGGCTAAGGGATATTCCATTTTATACACACACACACACACACACACACATATACATACATACCACGTCTTCTTTATCCATTCATCTATCAGTGGACATCTGGGCTCTTTCCTTATCTTGGCTATGGGAGACATTTCTGCTATAAATGTTGGGGTGCATGTGCCCTTTCAGATCACTACATTGGTATCTTTAGGGTAGATACCTAGTAGTGCAATTGCTGGGTTGTAGGGTAGCTCTATTTTCAACTTTTTGAGGAACCTCCATACTGTTTTCCAGAGTGGCTATACCAGTTTGCATTCCCACCAACAGTGTGAGAGGGTTGCCCTTTCTCTGTATCCTTGCCAACGTCTATTGTTTCCTAACTTGTTCATTGTAGTCATTCTGGTCATTTCTGACTAGTGTGCTGTGGTATCTCATTGTGGTTTTGATTTGTATGTCCCTGATGCTGAATGATGTTGAGCATTTTTTCATGTGCCTGTTGACCATTGTAAGTCTTCTTTGGAGAAATGTCTATTCATGTCTTCTGCCCAAGGAGCAAGGATATATATATATATATATATATATATATATACATATATATATATATATACACACACACACTTACATACACACTTTGGAGAATCAGATGAAATATGAACTATATTAGCAAACATTTGTAGGCACTGTCTTAAGTGCCCTGTTTATAGTGTTTCGTTTAAGCCTCAATTAATCCTTGCAATAGCTCTGTGGGGTATATAACCTGGTCTGTCTGCTCATTTAATAAATTAAATAATTTCTTTTTTTCTTGATGAGCCTGACTACAGGTTTATTTCTTGTTTATCTTTTCAAAGAACCCACTCTTAGTTTCATTGACTTTTTTCTGTTTAGTTTATTTCTTCTCTGATCTTTATTATTTCCTTCCTTCTACTGCTTTGGGCTTTGTTCTTCTTTTTTTTTTTTTCCTATTCCTTTAGGTCTAAGGTTTTATTGTTTGAGATTTTTCTTGTCTCTTGAAGTAGGCCTGTATTATCATAAACTTCCTTCTCAGAACTGCTTTTACTGTGTTTTGAAGATTTTAGGCTGAGGCTCCTGGCTGGAGCCTTAGTCTTGATCTTGGGGTAATGGGTTCAAGCCCCATGCTGGGTGCAGAGATTACTTAAAGCCACTATTTCCTTACTGATTTTCGGTTTGATCTATCCATTGATGTAAGTGGAGTGTTAAAGTACCCAATTATTATTAAATCACTCTCAATTTCTCCCTTTATGTCTGTTAATATTTGCTTTATATGTTTAGATGCTCCAATGGTGGGTGCATAGATATTTGCAGTTGTTATACCCTCTTGTTCAAGTGATTCCTTTATCATTACGTAAGGACAATCTTTGTAAGTATCACTACTCCAGATTTTTGTTGCTCGTTTGTTTACATTTGGTTGAACACCTTTGTCCATCCCTTTACTTTTGATCTATATATGTCTTCAGGTCTGAAGTGAGTCTCTTGCAGGCAGCATATAGATGGATTTTTAAAAATCAATTTGGCCACCTTAAGTCTTTTGATTAGAGCATTTACATTTAAAGTAATTATTGATCAATATGCCCTATTGATTTTCAAAACCAGACATTATGGGAGCTTGCCTTTCTGGTGCAGGTCCCCAGGTGGGTGTGAGCTTGAACTGTTAGTGGCTCAGGGAGAACTTTTGCACTTGTAACATTCCTCCAGCTTCTGGTTGTCCCACTGGGGGTTTTGGTTCCTGACCTGACCATGTCTTTGCTCCTCCTACCTTTCTTGATGTGGCTTTATCTCTTTCTTTAGCTGTGGGAGAGCTGCTCTGCTAGTCTTCATGTCACTCTTGGCGAGAGAGAGAGAGAGAGAGAGAGAGAGAGAGTTGCTCTCTAGGTAGTTGCATCCTTGGTGTGTTCATGGAAAGAGGTGAGCTCAGGATTTTCCTACCCCACCATCTTCCCCTCGTGTTTCCCAGTTACATCTCCCACATTTCTTGTGCATAGATTTCCCTGTCTATGTGGTTTCCATGAGAGTGCTCATGCTTATACAATATGGTGCTTCCCCCTCAACACAGATCTAAGGGTGGCCATATAACTCAAACTGGACTAATTGGTACATTTCCAAAGAACTTACAACTAAGTCCAAAAGAGAGTCCGTTGATCTCTCTTTGGGTGGTTTGATCATTAACAATGGTAAAATTTGGACTTCTCAGTAGGTGTATTTCCTGTTCTGTGGACTAAAAGGGCAGAGAAAGCCAGTTTGCAATGAACAAGAAGAAAGGAACAGACCCAAAGAGTTTCAGAGCCTGAAGTGTCTTGATAAGCGTCCCTATTTCAGTTCATTCTAGAAGCCCTGCTTTGTTCTTGTTCTTGAGTTCCAAGACACAACTATGCATCTTTATCATAAACTCACCTTTTCTGTTTAAGTTAGATTGAGTGAGCTCTTCTTTGCAACTCAAAGAATCCCGTCTCAGTCAGCACTTTGTTACCTCTATTTCCAAAGTCCACTTGTCTTATTAGCCCCATTATTTCTTTAAATTTCCTTCTTTCTTTTTGTATCCTCTTTCCATCATCCATTTACTTCCAGAAAATGGAAACATGTACTAACCTCTCTATACACAGCACACATATACACACACACACACACACAGATACTTATCTGGCATTAGAATCAATGAAAAATATATAGAGAGACAAGATGACAATAATTTCCTTACTTTGACAAGTGTTTTCATTGGAATTCTGGAATTGTGGAGCCCCAGAGAGAAGTTTGTATCCAGGATTACAGTGACAGTAGAAACCTCCATTAGTATTCTGACATGCAGCATTTGCTCCACAATTTATACTAATGGGTGGTTTACATTCATCAATATCTGGAACACAAAAGAGGAATTTGGCCATTAATTTGACAAAGATTTATGGAACATCTAATATGTGCCAGAGGCCATACCCTTTCCACCCAATCTGTCCTGGTTTTCCAGGACAACTCATTTAAGTTAGTGGGTTGTCTTTGTTCTTCCCTTTCCACTTTGACTTTGGTTGGATTCTCTGAGAAGTAGACACTGAGACAAGAATTCACGTTCAAGTACTTTATGTGGCAGGTGATCCCAGAAAACCCTGGAAGGGAAGTGGTGATATAAGACAGGGAAAGCCAGGCAGAAAGTAAAGAGGGAAGTTTCCATTGTGGGCAACTGGGACTCGATATCCCTGGGACCCTCTGGGAGGCAGTGTAGAGCACACGCTGCAGAGTGGCTCCCCAAGGGGTGAGGGGGCTGGGGTATTTATCTGCCAAATCTTTTTTTTTCTCTTAAGTTCTTATTTAAATCATAGTTGATTAACACATAGTGTAATATTGGTTTTGGGAGTAGTATTTAGTGATTCACCAGTTACACACGACACCCAGGGCTCATTACAAGAAATGTCCTCCTTAATCCCCATCACCCATCTAGCCCATCCCCCACCCATCTCCCCTCTAGCAACCCTCAGCTTGTTCTCTGTAGTTAAGAGTCTCTTATGGTTCCCTCTTTCTGTTTTCCCAGCTTCCTCTGCGCTCCTCTGTTTTGTTTCTTAAATTCCACAGATGAGTGAAATCATATGATATTTGTCTTTTCCTGACTGGCTTATTTTGCTTAGCATAATACACTTTAGCTCCATCCATGTCATTGCAAATGGCAAGATTTCATTCTTTTTGATGGCTGAGTAATATTCCATTGCATGCATACACACCTACACACCCACACACCACATCTTCTTTATCCATTCACAGTTGATGGACATTGGGGTCTTTCCATAATTTGGCTTTTGTTGGCAATGTTTTTATTTGCCACATCTTATTTATCAACAGAGAAGTGCTTGCAGGGATAATTAACTCTCTGGTACTTCTACCTGTTTTGAGCATGAGCTGAGTGGTCTCCAGTAGACAGATAGAGCTTTAGATTTGGTGTGCAAAAGAATGGCAAGTGCTGAGAGCATATAAGTGGGAAATTGACTATGTCTGCTGTTATGAACCTCATTTCAACATGTTGAAACCCTAACTTCTGGTGTGGCTGTATTTGGAAATGGGGCCTCTGAGGATGTAACTGAGGTTAAATGAGGTTGTAAGAATGGGGCCTTGATCTGTTAGGATTAATGTCTGTAGAAGAAGAGACAAGAGAGCTTTTCCACCTGCCTGACCACTATGTGCACAGAGTGAGGAAAGACCATGTGAAGATAGAGTAAGAAGACAGGCATCTTCAAGCCAGGAAGAGAGGCCTCCTGAGAAAGTGGAACTGCCAGAACCTTGATCATGGGCTTCCCAGCATCCAGAACTGTGAGAAAATAAATTCCTGTTGTTTAAGCCACCCGGTCTGTGTTTTGTCATAGCAGCCCAAGAGTAATACATTTGCTAGCTTAACTAATTGAGTTAGAATGTCTTGATTAAGTCAATGTGTCCCCAGTCCTAAGGGTCACAGTAGCCCCTTTATAAATGTCAGGTGGGTAGCGAATATGTGTGATTTCCCAAACTGGTATGGTAAACACGGAGCTGGGAATTTTCAGATTGTGATATAATAGAGCAGATGCTCTCGGCTGTCCGTGCAACCGCTGTCCTGTTTTGAGGAGGCTGTCTTGTTCCCGTCACCCAGGCACTCTCTCCCCAGCCTCCCTTCCAGCTTTCATGTCGCACCCCCAGCAAATGAAGAGTAGGGTTGTTCTTCCAGGGCCATCTGCAAGAAACCTAAGACTGAGACAGAAGTCACTGCAAAGGGACGAGTCTCAGATTGGCGTTGGGATTTTTGTTTGCGACCCTGTAAGCTTGAAGACAGTTCTGTGATCACTGTGGTATTCACTGATGAATCACTTGGTTAAGAGGATGGAATGAAAAAGCTCCCTCCGAGGCAGGATAGAACCTACTCATTAGAGCCAAAGAAATACAAGATGGTGCATTCATGGAGAGAGACATTAGCTATGTGGGCCAGTTTGAAGAAAGCATGTGAGAAATTTCTCCATAAAAACAACAGATTAACAAGTGTGAAATGAGGAAGTACAGAAACCTCAATGTAGGGGGGAATGAAGGGAAGAGGAAGCAGGCGTGAGCAGTGAACCTTGAGATAAAGTTAAAATTAAGGGGGAGTGTGGCAGGGGAGATGGGGAGGGGTTGAAATTATGGTATTTTAAAGATCTTATCTCTTCACTGGGGGAGTGGAAGTGAGGGTGAAACGAAGGATCTTTTTAAAAAAGTGCCAGTATGGGGCGCCTGGGTGGCTCAGAGGATTAAGCCTCTGTCTTCGGCTTGGGTCATGATCTCAGGGTCCTGGGATCGAGCCCCACATCGGGCTCTGCTCAGCGGGGAGCCCGCTCCCCCCCCCACCCCTGCCTGCCTCTCTGCCTACTTGTAATCTCTGTCTGTCAAATAAATAAATAAATAAAATCTTTTTTTAAAAAAAAGTGCTGGTATAATTAACATACAGTGTTATTTTAGTTCTAGGTGGCAATATGGTGATTCAACAATTCTGTATGTCACTCAGTACTCATCATGGTGAGGGTACTCTCACTCCCTTCTCCTGAAATGATGGGGCAAACAATGCACCTTGAAAGGGGAAATAATTGATGAGTTAAAAAAAATAGTAGAGAAACACATGTTTGAATATGAAGTTAAGATAAGGTAGTCATAAATGGGGTGGAATAGTGTATTAGGACTTCCAAGTAAATAAAGGGAAATGATGGTGTGCCTGGGTGGCTCAGTCAGTTAATCATCTGACTCTTGGTTTCAGCTCAGGTCATGATCTCACGGTCGTGAGATTGAGCCCCATGTTGGGCTCTGCTGGGCATGGAGCCTGCTTGGGATTCTTTCTCTCTCCTATCCCTCTGCCCCTCCCCCCTCTACTCCTGCTCTTTCTCTTTAAAAAAAAAATAAAGAAGAAATACGGATTTCATGAAAACATTTCTTTCTTGATGAGGGTGGAGTTGTTAGATTTTTGTTTTTTTTTGCAGTGCACATTATTGGTATTTGCCTCCCCATGGTCCTTATGCTGTCTTCCTTCCACTCCTGCCTCTGGATGGTTTGAAAACCGTCCCTTACCTTCGCATGTAGCCAAGGGAAATGTGAAGAATTCCTTCCCGAGCATAGAGGTGTATCCATGTTTGCAAGTACAATAAGTGCTGTTGACACAGTCAGCATGCTGGGGACACTTACAAGAAGCTGCAGGGAGAAGGAGGGGCAGGTCAAACATCCACTGGGGTTAAGAGATGTCCTGTTATCATTTGACTTGGCCTCCAACTGGGATCTCATGAGGATGAGGAAGCCTACACCCTTTGTCTCTTTTGAGATCTCAGTACATTAAAAAATGAGAGACACCAAACCCAAGTTACAGAAAAAAGTGAGATGCTTTTGCATGATAAAGGTCAGAGGTTGGTGTTAAATTAATTTTAACACAACAATTTCAAGGTGATGAAATTGTGCTATTCTCAGGATCACTGCAGAATTTATAAAAGGGGGAATGAATTGGTTAAGACCCTGGGATCAATTCTGACTCTGCCACTTACCAGCTGTGTGTCTTTGCACAAATGTCTTAACCCCTCTGTGCCTCAATACCCTCATCTGTAAACTGGGTTATTGTGAAGAGTAACTGAATTAATACATATGAAGTGTGTTGGGCAGTGCCTGGCACATAGAAAGTATCAGCTAGGATTATAAAAATTCGAATTTGTAGGGGTCCACAGGAGGTATATCCTGATATGGGTACACATGATCTTTGTAACCCTATGTATAACTTCATTTGGACAGGGAGACAGGAAAGATCTCAATTCGAGACCTCTTGGGAATGAACTGAGCTGAGGAAGTATCTCGAGCTTTGGGTCCAGTGGAGAAATCTGAGAACTGTGCAGTGTTCGTGGGGAGAGGGAACCTGATGGGAGCCACAGCAGACAGTCTGGCTGCTCAGAAGGCATCCCCCGGAGTTTGGCTAGAAAGGCAGAATCTCAGGCCCCACGCTAGACCTGCTGAATCAGAATCTAGTGAGATCTCCGAGGGTTTAAAGTTAGCCTGATGTCATCTTGTTCATCTTTTTTGGGAGGGGGCTTGCTTATGATCAGGATGGAATGGTTACCATCATGCTGTGTGTCTTGCCACTGGAATGCTCACTTCGTGAGACTTTGTGCGTTTCAGCTGCTGTTTTATTTCTACATTGGGCACATGGTGGTTACTGAAAGCAAATGAATAGACAAAGGACTGTAAAATAAAAAGATATATTAAGGGGCGCCTGGCTGGCACAGTGGGAAGAGTATGGGACTCTTAATCTTGGTGTTGTGAGTTTGAGCCCCACGTTGGATGTAGAGATAACTTAAATAAATGAAACTTAAAAAAAAAAGACACATTAAAATTTGATGTAATGATGAATTAAAAAGAATGATAGGAGCAAACATCCCTGAGTTCTACTGCAGAACAAGACCCTTTGCTCTAGCTCCGTGCAGGATGTGAGTGGTTCCTGGTATCTGGCTGTGGAGAAGTCAGGCATTGAGCACTTACCTATGGTCTTTTGAGCCATAACTTCTGATAAACTCAGCAGAAAACAGAGTCCTGGAACAGGGAAGCAGAAGGGAGACACATGAACTGAATGAGGAAAGATTCCAGGACATTCTCCAAGGGCTGTGTGTCAGTTATCCATGGCTGTTGATCCCAGTCCTTCATGCACAGGAATTGAAGTTACCCTAGTCCCACCTGAAATGTAATGGCTTACAAAATGTAATGGCTTAAAACAGCAATGGCCGGGGCACCTGGGTGGCTCAGTGGGTTAAAGCCTCTGCCTTCGGCTGGGGTCATGATCCCAGGGTCCTGGGATCGAGCCCCACATCGGGTTCTCTGCTCAGGGGGGAGTCTGCTTCCTCCTCTCTCTCTGCCTGCCTCTCTGCCTGCTTGTGATCTCTGTCTGTCAAATAAATAAATAAAATCTTAAAAAAAAAAAACCCCAGCAATGACCATTTTCTTACCTCTCATGGTTTCTGTGTTTTGGGAATCTGGGAAAAGCTCAGGTGGGTGATTCTGGTTTGGGGTTTCTTATACAGTCGCAGTCAGGCTGTGTCTGGGGCTGAAGCAGCTGGGAGCTGGATGGGAGCTGCCATCCCTTCATGTAGCCTCAGACTTGGGGAATTTGGCTTTCCTCCCAACATGATGACCTCAGGCATGCAGACCCCATGGTAATTCAGAGTTCTAAGTAGGGGTGCCCCAGGCAACAAGCCTACATGTCCCATTAAGATCCAGCCCTGGAAGTCATGCAACTCCATTTCCACCACACTCTCTTGGTTATAAGATTCAATGGAGGGGGATTGGTCCTCTTCTAGAGGGAAGACTGGTGAGATTCTAGAAGCATTTCTTGGAAGGGAAGTATTTTTTGTCTTCTTGGGAAATTCAGACTGCCTTTACCGTGGTTGATGAAGTGTTCTTTTCTCTTCCCCAAACCTTCCTGCCTGCTGGTGGGGTCAGCAGCCATGTTCTTGTTTCTGCAAAGGCCTGAAGCTACTGGATGGATGGGTGTCTTCTCTTTCCCTTTTCTGAGAAATCCGATAACACTCTGATTGTTAGTTCTCTCCTCACCTTCTTTTCATTTCCTTATTACATACTAACGTCTAGAATTATTTGCCATTTGTAAGGACAATATTAACAGCTGGTATGGTGCAGGAATTGGCCAATCAGAGGACACTGGAGATCCTTCTCTGTTGCAGCAGATATTATTTTAGCTGCTGAATTGTGGGGAGGTGGGTGGAATCTCAGGGCAGGGTCTGGGCTGGCAGGAGTGTGGTGGGAGCTAGTTCTGGGCAATGATTATTTACAAATGGTGTGGGAATATTTCAATATCAACAACCAATTAGTGGCTCTTCTGGTGTGTACTGGTTGACATTTACTCTGGTGATCAGTCACCTTATCTGCAACTTTGGTTACCCCTTGAGAAAGTGGGTTGTGCAGATAAATGGATAAAGAAACTGTGGTGTATATATACACAATGGAATATTATCAGGCCTTAAAAGAGAAGGAAATCCTGTCATTTGTGGCAATATCTATGAAACTAGAAGACATTACTCTGAGTGAGATAAGTCGAACACAGAAGGACAGATACTGCACAATTCCATTTACATGAAATATCTAAAGTAGTCAAACTCACGGAAGCAGAGAATAGATTGATGGTTAACAGGGGCTAGGGTATAAAGTTTTGTTGCATAAGGTGAATAAGTTCTAGAGTTCTGCCATAAAACGTAGTACCTATAGTTAATAACAATGCTGTGCTGTGCACTTCAAGATATGTTAAAAGAATAGATCTCATGTGTTCTCACCAAACACACACACACACACACACACACACACACACACACACACACGGAGGGAAATTTTTGGAGGTCATGGATATGCTTGACGACTTCATTGTGGTGATGATGGTATTATGGGTGTATGGTGTACGCATACATATAAACTCATAAGATGTATACATTAAATGTGTGCATTTTTTTTGTGTCTTGATTATACCTCAATAAGGCTAAAATTAAAAAAAAAAGAAAGTGGGTCCTGGTAATAGAAGGGTCTCTGTTTATCAAGTGGGGTGAGAGGTGTAGGTCAGGGTGGACTAGGTAGGTGGGACTGGGGTCACTTCGATTCCCGTGCATGAAGGACTGGGATCAGGTAATTGAGAACAGTCTGAGGCTGAGAGTCTGGAGAAGATGGGGGGAGGTGTGTCTTCCCTGGGGAAGCTCAGAAATGTGGCAGCTGGTGTCTCTGAAGCAAGTCTTGGAGGAGATGGGAATTTTTGGAGTAAAATGCAGCATGCCTTACGATGCAACCACCCCTCCACCCTGCCTAAAAACACACCAATGAAACCTTCCTTGGAGAGAGATACTATGTCTTGGAGAGAGGATTTCCTTGGTGGGGGGTTGGACAAAATACAAAGGCCAGCCTCTACAACATCTAAGGGGAAAAGAGCCCTTACTACATGCCAGGCATTATTCTAAGCACCAGGCACACGAATTTAATTCAGCTTTGCAACGACTTTAGGAGGTGAGTGCTATTAGCATGATCCTGTTTGTGAACCTTAGGAAACAGAGGCACAGAAGGGCTAAAGTGTTTGTTCCATTTCCCAGAGCTAGTTAGTGGCAGAGCTGAGATTAAACTCAGGTGTGGATCCCTACTGATAACCTACCACCCCCTACGACCTCTATTGCAGAAATTCCGTACAAGCTGCATGCCTAAGGGCTGGTGTTGAGATTGGCATGTTCCCAGGGCAGTGACTTAGGGCAAGGGTGCCTTTTCTTCCAGTAGATGTAGTTCCCTAGATGTTATAGCCCAGTAGGAGGTGTGATAGTTTACTTGGTTATTTGGGGGCAATCTAGACCAATGGTTGGATTTGGAAGACAAAGACCTATGGGCTTAGCAGTGACCCTTAAGTGTGGGAGGGAGGGCAGTACTAACTTTTTTTGGTTCCCTGTAAGAGTTTCTGATTGCTGACAAATCACCCTGAATTTCGTGGCTTAAAAACAACAGAAATGTATTCCCATGTAGTTCTGTAAACCAGACATCCCAAGTTAGTTTCACTGGGCTGACATTAAGCTGTCAGCTGGATTGCTTCCTTTTGGAAGCTCTAGGGGAGAATCCATTTCCTTCCACTGCCAGCTGTCAGAGGTGACCCACATTCCGTGCTCATGGTCTCCTCTCCCATCCTCAGAGCCAGCAGCACAGCACCTTTCTTTCTCGTGTCTTGCTTCCCTCTTATCAGGACCCTCAGGATTATAATGGACCTGCCTGTATAATCCAGGATAATCTCCCCATCTCAAGATTATTAGCTTAATCCATATCTCTAAAGTCCCTTTGACCATGTGAAGTTCTCAGGACATGCCACCACCAAATATGCCGCTTTGGCATCTTGGTTATTTAGAGTGGAAACCACCTGAGAAACAGCACATGTAGGAAGGGCGTTCTGACCTCGTTTTTCCTACTTAAAATCAGGCCATAAAATCTCCCCTGCCTTCCCTGTGCCAGGAAGAAAAGAATGTTGTTATCACCAGAGATTGGGAATGAACACAGAAATGGATGTGTACAAGCACACTCATTGAAACAGCCCTTGTCTTCCTCCAGTTTTCCCTCTGACAGAACTGCTAGTCACTTTTTCACAATTCACCATTCCTAACCCCTTTGCCTTGTCATTTCACAAATTCATATCTTTGTCAAAAAGGCACAAAAACGGGACGCCTGGGTGGCTCAGTTGGTTAAGCAGCTGCCTTCGGCTCAGGTCATGATCCTAGCGTCCTGGGATCGAGTCCCACATCGGGCTCCTTGCTCGGCGGGGAGCCTGCTTCTCCCTCTGCCTCTGCCTGCCTTTCTGTCTGCCTGTGCTCGCTTTCTCTCCCTCTCTCTCTGACAAATAAATAATAAAAATCTTAAAAAAAAAAAAGGCACAAAAACTCTGTGCTCTGGTCATTTTCCTGGGTCTTCATTCTCTTGTGAATGCTTTCATGTACATGTTTCAATTCAATAAAACTTGTATAATTTGTTTTATGTCAGCTTAATTCTGACTTTCAGCCAGAGACCCTAAGAGGGCAGTGGTGAAATTTTCCCTCCCCTGTGCATTTATGGTAACATATTCACAGGTTCCAGGGGATAAGGATGTTGACATCTTTGGGTGGCTGTTACTCATCCTTCCATGCTTCCGTCCTTCATCAAAGAAGGTGCCAGTTCTGATCAGTTACTTATGTAATGGTATTCATGAAGCATTTTGAATATTTTTGTTTGCCCAATGAATATATTTTCAGCTGAGCTGTGGACTGCTTAGTGGCAGGGTCCTGGCACATTTTCGAATGAATTTAAATTTCCCTACTCCAGGGGCACCTGGGTGGCTCAGTGGGTTAAGCCTCTGCCTTTGGCTCAGGTCATGATCCTAGGGTCCTGGAATTGAGCCCCGTATAGGGCTCTCTGCTCAGTGGAGAGCCTGCTTCCCCCCCCCTCTCTGCCTGCTCTTCTGTCAACTTGTGATCCCTCTCTCTGTCAAATAAATAAATAAATAAATAAATGAATGTTAAATTTCCCTACTTTCTACTTTTGTATAATAATTAATTCAAATGGATAAAGAAGATATGGTCCATATATACAATGGAATATTATGCCTCCATCAGAAAGGATGAATATTCAACTCTTGTATCAACATGGATGGGACTGGAGGAGATTATGCTGAGTGAAATAAGTCAAGCAGAGAGAGTCAATTATCATATGGTTTCACTTACTTGTGGAGCATAAGGAATAACACGGAGAACATTAGGAGAAGGAAAGGAAAAGTGAATTGGGGGAAATCTGAGGGGGAGATAAACCATGAGAGACTGTGGGCTCTGAGAAACAAACTGAGGGTTTTGGAGGGTAGGAAGGTGGGGGGTTGGGTGAGCCTGGTGGTGGGTATTAAGGAAGGCACGTATTGCATGGAGCACTGGGTGTGGTGCATAAACAATGACTCCTGGAACATTGAGAAAATAAAATAAGATAAGATAAAATAAAATAAAATAAAATAAATAAAATAATTTGCAGAAGCTGCACTAACACTACATCTGCCCAAATGATGACTATAGCTCACAAAGCCAGTTAGTAACACATACGGGTTGAAAAGCGTTTCCTAGTTCCTAAAGCTCAGGTAGTCTAGGCACCACCAGGTTTCCTCAAGGCTAGTCTTCAGAGTCTCCTTTCAGTCTAGCCAGCAACCCTGTGCTCAGTAATATGTGTATGCATGTTAAATTAGGGTTTTCCCAGAGTCATGAGCATGCCTGATTCCCACACTGCTAAGAAACTTTAGAAATCACACTGACTCTTTTTGTTCATGAGGTAACAGGTGCGTAGATGCGTAGCATCAAGTGGCTTGGATGCTATTTTTGCAAATTGTTTAAATTGTTTCCTTATATGAAACATAGTGACAGCATTGTCTACCACCTGGGGTTGGGCATGATGACATAAACAAGGGCATGCGTGAAGCACAATGTCTGGCAGAAATCAATTCATAATTGTCTCCATTACCATTTTATTTGCACTAGAGTCCTATTCTTATTCTTGACCAGATGCTCATTCTGTTACACTGTCTGTTGCATCCAGTGATGTGGGCAGAGAGTTCACAGGTAACTGAATTCACAAATAATTGAGCCCAGAAGTGTCCTGGACTCTACCTCCAGTTGCCAAAAAGCAGGAGATATCTTGCTTGAGTGTCTCTTTTTTTAACCCTTTGTTTAAGCTTTATTGAGATATGTATATTGAGATATATAAAAAATTGTACACTCTCTCACTTCAATTTGATTTCATAGATATATATCAGACTTATATATAAGATATGGAAGAGGCTGCAAAGGTGAGAGCACAAGGCATTTGCCTTTAATAAGCTTATATTATTATTTTTTTAATTTTTAAATTTATTTTCAGCATAACAGTATTCATTGTTTTTGCACCACACCCAGTGCTCCATGCAATACGTGCCCTCTCCAATACCCACCACTTGGTTCCCCCAACCTCCCACCCCCCTCCCCTTCAGACCCCTAAGGTTGTTTTTCAGAGTCCATAGCCTCTCATGGTTCACCTCCCCTTCCAATTTCCCTCAACTCCTTTCTCCTCTCTAACTCCCCTTGTCCTCCATGCTATTTGTTATGCTCCACATATAAGTGAAACCATATGATCAAGCTTATATTATTATTATTTTTTAAAGATTTTATTTATTTATTTAACAGACAGATCACAGGTAGGCAGAGAGGTAAGCAGAGAGAGAGACGGGAGGAAGCAGGCTCCCCGCGGAGCAGAGAGCCCGATGCGGGGCTCGATCCCAGAATCCTGGGATCATGACCTGAGCGGAAGGCAGAGGCTTTAACCCACTGAGCCACCCAGGCGCCCCGACAAGCTTATATTATTTTGATAGATTTTATGATCTATCACCTGCCTCTGCAACTAAACAGCTGTGAGACTTTAAACAAGTCCTACAACCTCTCTGTGATGCTATTTTGCATCTTTCATGTGAAGGTGTTGTGCAATAATGAAGGTAAAACAATTTTAGGCTGAAGTATGTCCTCAATAAATGTAAGGCTGATAATTGTGGTTATTGATATTGTTATTTGATCTGGAGCCAGAAGGATGGACGGGACTTCAGAGTTGGGGAACCATCTGCACAGAGGTGGCGATTGAAGCCACAGGATTGAGTTTACTCTAGGAGAGGGAGCAGAAAAAGAGACCTAAGCAGAATCCTGTGGGAGGAGCATAATGGCAAAGATCTGGAGCCAGGCGGTTTGGGTTTGTATCCTGACTCTGGCATTTACAAGCTGTGTGACCTTGAGCAGGCACTACAATCTCTCTGTGCCCTAGTTTTCTCATCCCTAAGATGGGGATGATATTAATATTCTTTTTTAAATTTATTTTTTATTTTCCGCGTAACAGTATTCATTGTTTTTGCACCACACCCAGTGCTCCATGCAATACGTGCCCTCTCCAATACCCACCACCTGGTTGATACTAATATTCTTGAAAAAAGAAATGGCAAGAGAGGCAGAGAAAAAGTGCAGTGCTAGTGTTAGGTCACAGAATTATCAAGGAGAAAAGGATGTTAATTAGAAAACAAAACCTTTGAAGATGAAGATCAACTCCTTGGATTGGACCATCAGGAAAATTTTTTTTTTAAATTTATTTATTTGACAGACAGAGATCACAAGTAGGCAGAGAGGCAGGCAGAGAGAGAGGAGGAAGCAGGCTCCCTGCCGAGCAGAGAGCCCGATGCGGGGCTCGATCCCAGGACCCTAGGATCATGACCTGAGCCGAAGGCAGAGGCCCAACCACTGAGCCACCCAGGCGCCCCCCCCTCCCTTTTTTTTTTGGACCATCAGGAAAATTTTAGGCATATTTGACAGCACAGTTTGAACAGGGTGGTGAGGAAGGAAACCACAGTCCAAGGGGAAAGAGAGAATATTTAAAGCAGAGCAGGAGAAAGAGAAGGAAAAGAAAGCTAATCATTGAACTAACAGCTACTGATAGGAGGTAGGTTAGGGTACAGTCATTCCCAAGGTTACACATACCTGGAAGGAGTGATGGCCCTCGCATTCCTGCACATAGGTAAACCTTGCCGGCCAGCTGTTGAAGTTCCTTATTGCTGTTTTACACTCACCACTTTTCCATTTCAAGGAAATCTTATGAGAATTGGTACACATAGGTTAGCTGACTAAGGACATTTCTATCAGAAAAGGGAACTTGTTCTTGTCTTTCACCATCAGACTGATGGTTCTGCTTTTTTGTTTTTTTATTTATTTTCTATGTTTTCTGCACTTGTTTTCATATGCTTTCTTGATGGTAGGTTTTCATGGCTGCTGTTGATTGCCTTTGGGGTGACAGAGTCAGTTGACCCGAGGAAAGGAAGGCCTTTTAGTTACAGAGCATTGTCTGCGGAGTGGTTATGACTTGGGGTCAAAATAAAGCTTAAATAACCCTGTGGTTTTGAGCTGGGTAAGCCAAAATTTAGGGTATCTCTGTTGGTATCTAAAGTTACTGGAAGAGTCATTTTTCACAAATGTTGGTATTTTTATCCCCTTAACAGATGACCCTCAACAGATCTGGCTAGAGTCTCAAAGTAGACCCAGTAGAGAGTAATGAATTATTTGGTTATTTGGGTCAGTCCAAACCAACTGCAGGATTTGGGAGAAAAATCTAAATCCTTCCCTCTTTCAACAAATATTTATTAAGGCAAATATTATTGACAGGATCTGTTTTCTATCTAGAACTACAGAGAAGGGGAACTTGGTGGAAAAGCAGGTTTTTGGGGGAGAGATGGCATTAAGTTTTGGGTAAGTTGATTTTGAGGTACTGTGATTTCAACATTCATTGCACATATGTCTAGTTCACAAAAGAGAGGGCTTTCCCCCTGGTCACTAGTTGGTAATTGTAGCTAAGTACTAGGTGATATCATGTAGGGAGAGATCGTAGAGTGAGAAGAGAGCCCTAGGTAAGAAATTTAGAAATCAGGGCATGGAGGAGCAGAAAGTAGAGGGAATAGGCCAAGAGTGGCTAGAGAGATGGGGGAAAATGAGCAGACTATAGTGTCATGGAGGGAAAGGAAAGAGACTAGACTGAATTAAGACTGAAAAATATTGATGGGACAGAGCAGTAGGGAGGTTGTCTTCTTATCAAGAGAGGTTCCAGTGTTTGGATGGTGGTGGTGATGATGATAAAGATAACAATGATGAAAGTGGTGGAGATGGTGATGGTGTTGGTGATGGTGGTGATGATGTTGGTGGTGAAGCCGGTAGAGGTGATTGTGCAGGTGATGGTGGTGGTGATGGTGATGATGTTAGTGGTGAAGATGGTCGAGGTGATTGTGCAGGTGATGGTGGTGGTGGGGATAGTTGTGCTGGTGGTGCTGATGGTGATGATGAAGGCGGCGATGGTAGAGGTGGCAATGATGGTAGTAAAAATGGTGGAGGTGATGGCAGTGATGAGGTGGTAGAGGTGATGATGACAGTGATAATAGTGGTGAAGGTGGTAGAGAAGATGATGATGAAAGCAGTTCAGAATGGAGGTGACTGAGGGAGAACGGGAGGTGAAGAAGGGGAGATAGCAAGTAGAGTCAACTCCAGAGACACTTGGAGGCAAATATATGAGCAAGGAAAAAAAACCAGATTTCCCCAGGTGGTTGGGGCATGGAGGAATTTGCCGACTTTTGGGGTTGTAAAGCCCACAAGTCCTGCTTAATAAGTTTGTTGTGCTCTCAACATCTCACCGTCCCCCATGGCCAAGCAGCCCTGTGGTGGGGTTTCCGGTTCTTTCCCCCTAGTGGTCCTCTGGGATTGTGATGATAGTTGGAGGTGAGAGTTGATCAAGAAAGACAAGTGGTGCCACCTAATGGCCAGGCCTATGCTATTACAGAGTGTTGATTCTAGAACCAGACCACCTGGGTTCAAATGTAGCTCTGCCACTTATTAACTGTGTGACATTGGGAAGGTCACTCAACTTCTCTGTCCCTCAGGCATCTCTGATCTGGTATAACTTTGATAGCCCCCTAACTGGTTGTCCTTCTACCCCATTCTTCACCCTGAAGCCGGGAGAGCTTTCTAAAATATGAATCCAAGCCATCACATCTTTGCCTCACAGCCCCATGGATAGTTTGCAGACTAAATGTGCTTAGTAGGTTCATAAAGCCCACCAGATCTGACCCCAGTCCACCTCTCCAGACCTATCTCTTGCCCTTCTTTCTTAGACTGCCACCTGTCCTGCTGGCTCTCTGTTACCTTCAAACTGCTTCATAAAGCACATAAGTATAAACCAGAATGTCCCTAGCATTTTACCTCTGATACAAAATGTGATTATAATTCCTTTTTGTAATGACATTATAGCATAAAATGCCAAGGGTTTTTTGTTTGTTTGTTTTTGTTTTTGCTGAAGATCAGACTCTCTGAAAGTGTCCTCTCAGTTATTTCTGAGAGGTCCAGCTCACAGATGCCCTTTATATCCCTCCCCCCTCCATCCCTTGCTCCATCCAGCCATCCGTCTGTCCATCCCTCACGCCATTCATCTATCCCTCCCTCCCAGATTTTTCGCCTCACTGACAGACTGCTCTCTTTGCTACTGCTGACTTCAGTGAACAGTCTGTTCATTGTCTTATGCTGATTCTTACCCCGACTCCCTAACCCTAGACTAGGTTTTAAGTGCTGCTCTCTCTGCTTCTTCCAGGCACATCTCAGCCAGGCTGTGATGTTTAATAAAGCTTTGCTGAGGTCAACCCAAATGTGATCCTGTTAAATCTAAGCCAGACTGTGTTCCTCCTCTGCTGAAAGCCTTCATAACTCCCACATCACTTGTTTTTTATTTATTTATTTATTTATTTATTTATTTATTTATTCTGACTCCCATTTCACTTAAAAGCCAAAGTTCTCACCATAGCCCATAAGTCTCTATGTGATCTGCCCTGGTCACCTCTTTGCCCTCATCCCCTCCCAGTCTCCCCAGCCCTGCCCTCTGCTTTCTCTGATTTAGCCACACCCATTTTTTGCCTTTCCTCGAACAAGCCAGACATACTCCTGCCTCGGCTTTGGTACTTGTTGTTCCCTAAATGCTTTCCTCCAGATTCCCCCACATAACCACACGGCTCCCTGGCTGACTTCAAGTCATTGCTTAAGTGTCCCCTTGTTGCTGAGGTCTCTCCTCTGACCTCCCTGTCTAAAATTTCCCTCTCTCCCTCATCCTCTCTCCCTCCTTCAATCTCTCTCTCTCTCACACACCCTCCATTCACTTTGCTTAGTTATTTCTGTTCATTGTACCCACCACCTTCTAATATACAAAACAATTTGCTTATTTACTTCATTTATTTTGTTTGCTGTTTCTCTGCCCTGGTGGAAGGGCTGCTCCAGAGGGCAAGGAATTTTGCTTGGTTTATTCATTGTTGTAGTCCCTGTGCCTCATACAGCATCTGGCACATAGTACATGCTCAATAAATACTGATTTAATTAATGAGTGGACACAAAGACCTGGCTGGAGGGCAGTTATCAGCCACTCTCAGGACTGGCTGCCCTTGGTGACTTCAAGTTCCTGACTCTCCTGAACTAGCACTTTAGAGGGGGTGGGGGGCCAGCAACTTGACTCTCAATAGTGGGAATCTCCAGGCATCTACATACCTCAGAATCCAGGCTCAAGGTAACTCTCCACCCTAACCTCAGAGAGCACTGATCTATTCCAGGCGCAAGGGATAAAACAGTGGGCAAAACAGACAAAATTCCCCATTCTCATAAGTATTTTTTTTTTTGCACACAATGTTACCTCTACCTGGAGTTCCCTTTCTTTCTCTAATGCTAGTCCCCCTCCCTGTTCCTCAAGACCCAGAAGCATTTCCTCCCAGAAAACCTTCACAATAGTGCTAAAGTTAGCTTATGCTAATTGATAGAAAATTCTTCATACTGTGACTGTCTTAGGCCAGGTGCCTGTAAGGAGATCCTGAGGTAGGAACTGGGATGCACATAATTTGTTGGGGGAAAGTAGAGGCTGGGATGCACATGAGATTTTGGAGGAGTATGCTCTCGGAAGAAGGGTACTAAGGAAACAGGATAAGCAGGGGAAGGAACTAGATAAAGAGGCGGTCTCAGCAAGAGTATAATCTCAGCTTAATTCCTTAGGAAAGCTCTGGACTGTGCATTGTGGAGTTGGTCCATCTGCAGGGAAGGCTTTTTTTTTCTTTAAATTTTTTATTTTTTAATTACTTTTCAGTGTACTAGAATTTATTGTTTCTGCACCACACCCAGTGCTCCATGCAATCCGTGCCCTCTCCAATACCCACCACCTGGTTCCCCCAACCTCCCACCCCCCGCCCCTTCA